CCCACGGCCGCACTGCTCGGAGCCCCAGCTGCTGCTGGACTCAGATGCCCATCATTCCTGCACACTGGCAAGGATGGCTGAGGCTGATGGGAGCCGCAGTCCAGCAACATCAAGGGCCTCACGGCTGGGAAGCCTCAACCCAGTCACCACTGCATTCCAGAAGGTGCCTCACGGAGCCCCAGCCGTGCTCGAGAGGAGGGCCTCTGGGGGCTTGGGAGCCCCTGTGTGTGCAGAAGCGCCAGACGTATTTCCCTCTAGGGGAAGAGAGCCTTGCGTGAGAAAACACCCCCCAAAAGCTCGAGGAGTGTTGGGCACCCCCAGGGGCAACCGGAACCAGACGGCGTATCAGCTGGCTTGCACTGGCCGCCTGTGCGGCTCCTAGCCGTGTCCACGGTGCTTCGATCTATAAGCCTTACTAGCCAAGGAAATGTCTCCCTGGGAGGAACCCACTGACACCCGACATGCGTGATCTAAGACCGCCTCCAGATGCTTCCTTAGAGGGAAGGAAGAAGGACTTCTTGGTGGTGGGTCCCCACGGAATAGAATTACCTTGCTGTGGAGGCCCACCTGGAGGTAACATTCTCAGGTTAAGACCTTCTTCTTTTCCAAGGCATTTGGAGGCACTGATGAGGTTGTGATTGTGGCTGGAGGCTCGCTCTCTCTCTCTCTCTGGTTCACACGTTCCTTTTAGTGTGTTTCCTCGCTTATATGCCTACAGAGCCATATCCTCCCTGGTGCAAGCAGCACCACGGTACTGCTGTTCCACGGTTGGTCCAAATGGGGCCATGCAAATTGAGTCTAATCTGACAGCGCTCTTCCAATATCTCGAGTTTCCTCACGCGAGAGATGATGCCAACTGTTTCTATGTGGCACTGGAGGGTAAGATTAGAAGCAGTTTTTTATCTGCTGCACCCTTTGAATAATTCTCCTCTCTCCCCTTAAAGAATATATATGTAGGGCTTGTATGTTTGGGTACTGATTGCTCTGTGTAGAACACTGGATTTTCCCCCGGTAGAAGCTTATAGGAGCAAAATTCGGGTCTGGGAATGAGCCTGCGCAGTACGGATCCTATGCGTGTGGCAGAATCCATTCTGGGATCCAGGCCAGGTTTTTGGAACACCTGCTTGAATGGGGGTGGGGGGCTGATCCCAAGTTCTGCATCCATCGATTGATCTATGTATCAAACATTAAACGCTTCCCTCTTTAGGCGTTTTAGCTTGATAAAAACACAAATAGAATCACAAGAAAATTAACAATATACAGCTAACCAGTGTAGCACAAACTCTGGCATTATATTTATACCATGCCGAAAAGTTGCACAAAGGATTGAGGGCTGGCTTGCTGGGAATTGGAGTCCCATACATCCGCAGGGCAGCGACTTGAACGAGGTTGCTTCTGTGCAAAGTTTTGGCATCTCTGCTTGGCAAGCAATGCAGAAGAAAGCTTTGCTGCTGAGATTGGCATGCCAGGACTTCCAACCTGATGGCTTCTCTTGGAACCGAACCCTCTGTTGGGTGTAGTATTTGTGTCTTTGATCCACAAGGACTGGAACATGAGTGCCACCTACAGGTCCCAAGTCAAGGCGTGCTCATTTTAGCCTGCAAGAGATGGAGGAAAGCCCCAGTTAGATTCTTGCCCTGATTGTCTCCTAGGATGGGCAGACACATTTGTCCGTTTAGCGAAGGATGGCTGAGAATTTCATCCTGTGTGGTTTTAGATATCCCAAATCCCAATTACCTCTTTTCACTTGATACATAGGAAAGAAAGAATGCCCAATTTAACACATTCCGGTGTAGCGGGCAAACCAAACAGAAATTGTGCAGTTGCGCCTTTGTCTGACATGTTTGCATCCTGGAGCTTTCGGTAGGTCACTGCTTTTCGACCACTTCTCTGTCCAGTTGCTTTGGCGGCACCAAATGAGGATGGCCTGAAATTTCTCATTTTTAACAACTGTCTGGAAGGCAGGGCCAAGAGTCACATCTCTTGACTTTGGCCATCGGAGATGCTTGAGAATTTTGCTTGGTTCATTTTTATAGGAACTTACTAAAGTTTCCAGTTTTCTTCAAAAGGGAGTCGGAAAGAACAACAAGGAAAACAACAAGGAATGTGGGAGAAAACAAAACTGAAATTTCTCCATCTTTCTTCCCAACAGATGGTTGCCAAAATTATTATAACATTATAAAATTCCACACAACTTTTATGTGCTGGCTGTGTCTGCCTATAAAACCGGTGTGTCAGTGTATGACTTTCACAACCATCTGTTGGAAAGACAGTCTGAATTGCATCATGAAACACCACCGGTTGTACTAGTGTGTGTGCTCCTTCTTCATGTAGATGCTTTCGAACTGCTTGGTGTGCAAACTGCATAGATATATTTCAAAATTTTACACTGTCCAATTAGCATCTTGCACAAAACGTAAATTAAACAAACAAATGTCGGTTAGAGTTATCTCTATTCTTAGCCACTGTGGCTTTCTCAGAAAGGAAAGGTAGGAACAGAAGCAAGAAAGTAAAAATAAACATTGAATATATAAATATTGGACAGTGGTGAAGGGAAATGAATTTCACCTGCCTTTTTCCTCTGCTTGCTTTTTTGCAATCTGTCCTTTTTTCTGGGCGTGCTTTCTCCACTCCTTCTCCTGTGCTCTGTTCTGGCATCACAAACAATTAACAATATTGTATTTTGCCATTTTAGAGTCCGATCCATATACGGTGTTACTCACAAGCAAGTCCCACTGAGGCCAATGGAATCGACCCCCAGGTAAAAATGCTTATAGGATTGCACGTTGCCCTGTTTGGGTGTGAAATAGAGTAAGTTTGCTCATTCTGTGGATTCCCTTTTCTTCCCTGATATAGATTTATTTTGCTCGCATTTAATCTGTAGGATTGTGGAATTGGAATCTCTGGTGCAGGCAGAAAAACACACGGGGTGTCCGGTGGCATTAACAGGGGGAGTTGAGGGTTTTGTCTTTTGGGGGTCCATTTAGCCCAAAATAGAGAATATCAATGCACAAGGGGGCAGTTGTACAAATTTGGTGTGAAAATTAGACACTTCCGCTGTCTCAGTTCAGTCTTCTGTGAACGAGCAAATGAGCAAGGCGCCCAGGAACCGTGCCGGGATGCGGATTTTGGCATCCTCCCAGGGCCAGCCCCCGTGGCGTCTGCTTTGCCCCCTCCCCTGCTCCCCACCTTTACACAAAAGTTGACACCCCCAAACCAGGATGCAATTCTGATCGCTAGAGGGTAGCAGCGACCTTTGCAGATCCGGGTTCTGAGCCTTGTAGTCCAAGGCCGCTGGAGGGAACCTGGCTGTTGTTGTTGTGTCGTTGTTGTTGAAAACTGCTTCAGGATGTGTGCAATTAAGCATTTGCACGGGCTGTTTCATTATTATTTGCATTGCCCTGTGCTGCTAGAAGACAGACACACTCCAGCTAGCGGAGGTTTTGCGTTTGCCTTAGAAATCTGGGTAGCTCAGTAAATCTTTAACGGGCTGCCTTAAACCGGTGCAAACCTGATGGTCGCATTTGCGCTTGATTGTTCCTGAGCGAGTTGTAAGCCACCCGAGGAATGGGGATCAAAGGATATCACTTGAAAGCAAAATTGAAAATGACATTTTGTGGCACTGCTGGCCCAAAGTCAAGAATGGAACTGGAGTTCCTTTTTTGTTTTTCAATTTAATCAGAGTCTGCTAGGTAAGCTGGGAATAGTTGGAACATGTAATTATACTTTGGAATTCAGCATTACTGTCAAGGCAATATGAATGGAGTGCGAAAATAAATTCTGTATTATTTTAAGAGAGATGCAAGGGTGGCTGCAAGCCAGATCATTTTATCTAGAACTCTGCTCTCTGCATGTGCTCAGAGGAACTCCCTCCTGTGTTTGGGCTCAAGTCCTGGAACCCAATTTCCTGGTGAAATCCAGGTTGAGTTCTGGGAAGGGTGCACTTTTGGAATAGGGTGAGTTCTGATACTTCGCTGAAGCGGCCAGACCTGACCTTGGCAGGAAAAAGGTCCCAGGTTCAGTTGTGGGGCTAGGAAAGACCCCTCCCCAGAATTCTGGGGAGCAGCTGTCACTCACGATAGACCTGAGTTGGGCAATTTGGAGACCAGCATTAGTTTTGATCCGTCAGCCCTTGGCCCACGGCTGACGGATAAATTCCTCCGGGTCTTCACAGCTCCTCGTCCCATGTAGCTGCACTTGCAGAGGCAGGAAGTTGGTAGACAACAGTTGCTGGGGAACATGGGTGGAAGGCTGTTAGTTCACTCATGTCCTGCTGATGGGTTTGCCTTGATTCTGATGTTCTGTTCTGATGTTCTTGCATCCCAAGGGCTGTTCTGATGTTCTTGCATCCCAAGAGGACGGAAATTGTGTCCAAAATGCCTAGAGGGCCACAGTAAGCCCCCCATACACAAGGTTTAGGCAGTAGCAGCCTCGATGGGATCCAGTTCTGCTTCTTATATTCCTACTTAATGCAGGCCTTTATGCAGAACCTTGAGGACTAGGAGCTTAATGTACTTTTAGGTGAAGGGCAGCACTCCATGCTTTCCAAGCTAAAAGGTCCCAGACTGAATCTCTGGCTTCTCCAGAAAGGGTTGGGAAAGATGTCCATCTGTCAGCATCCTTTCCAACTCTGGAGCTATCCAGATGGGTTGGACTACAACCCCCAGTATCCCCAGCTAACTTGCTGGATGCTGCAACATAACACTCTTGAGAAGACAGCTTACAGGATCGTCGTTCAGCAGGCCAGTAGCTAAGGAGAGGCTGGCTTCTCTAAATTTCTCTGCCCCCCATTTTCTTAACAATTAAAAAACAGTTCAGTTTGGGCTTGAAAAGGCTTGCAGACTAGATAAATTGCCCCCCCCCCGCCCGCCCCGCGCGTCTTTAGGCTGACTGCAGCCCTGCAGCCCACCCCTCAAGTTTGGCGCCCCGCCCCTCGGCCCCCGCCCCCTCCTCCCCTCCCCTCCCCTCCCGGCGCCCGCTCGCCGCGCCGTCCCGCAGACATGCGTCGGGCGGCTGCTTGGCTCCGGGCGCGCGCCCCCCTCTTCCTCCTCTTCCTCCTGGGCGCAGACTTGGGGTCGCCGTCCCCGCCCGAGGGCCCTGGGGGGCCCCCGGGCGGGCGGCGGGACGAGCCGCCCAGCGTGGTGGTCGCCATCCTGGCGCGCAACGCCCAGCACTCGCTGCCCCATTACTTGGGGGCCCTGGAGCGCATGGACTACCCCAAAGAGCGCATCTCCATCTGGTAAGGGGCACCGCGGGGTGGGCGCGGGGGCGCGGCGCGGGGCGGGCCGGGCTTGGGGTCTCGCTTCCCAGGCGCCCTGCCCAGGAGCCTGCGACGGGTCGGGGGGAGGCAGGGCAGGCCCGCCGGCTGGGGGTCGGTCCGCCGGTGAGCGCGCGCCTCGGGGGCGCGTGGGGGCGGCATGCGCGCGCGCGGGGGGCGCCACGCCCGGACTGCAGCGCCTCCCCCGCCGTGGACGTTTTTCGGGGGTCCCGAGGCCGTGCCAGTGCGCGCGTGATCTGGGGAACCCCTCCCTTCTTTCCGGGCTTTGCGCCATTGCGCAGAGGGTTTGGGGCAAGCGGGCGGCGACCCCCTCCGGGCTTTGCCGCTTCTGGCTTCGAGGTGCTTCAGCGCCCGACCTACTCGGGGCCCCCCTGGACAAGGAAGGGGGGCTGGTTTTTGCCCCCGTGGGGTTGCAGTGCCTTTTTCCTGGTGTTGTCATTGGGCGTGTGATGTGTCGACAGCGAATTTCCCGCGGCTGCCCTGAGGGTGGTCTCCAAACGCAGCCGGCTCCGACTGAATAGGCTCTGGCCGTACAGGGCAGAATCGGGAGGCAGTGAAGAGTAAAAATAAGAATATTTTGGCCAAGAATCCCCCTGCCCTTCCCACTTAATGACGCTTAAAGTAATACACACAGTTACGGTAAGCTCAGGAAACCGAGGTCAGACACTCATCCGTGTGTAACTGCATGTTCTTTAATGTGCCTCCTCCACTCGGAAGGGATGCACTGAAAGGGAAATCCTAAAATTTATTTGATTTGTCAAGGCTGCAAGTGCGACACAGGGCAACCCTGGGTTGTCCCATAGCCAGAAGTGATTCCTAGCCATCACTAGGCTCGGCTAGAGTCTGAAACAACACGGCCTTGGGCTGTTCAGTGAACTGCTTCTGGGGTTAGGAATGCTAGCTTTTGAGTTACACTGAACTCTTCAGCTGGGTGGAAAGAAGAGGTGGGAGGCTTGCCCTTGTGCTTTTCGGGGGAGACTAGTAGGGTATCCAAAGGGGGTTTCCTGTTATCCCACCCCTGGTATCCAACGCCCCTCTGAAGAGTGGGCTCTTCCTGCCACCCTGGGCTTCTCTTCACTGCCCCCAAGCAAGCAGGCTACAGACTGGAGGGATTCCCTGCCTCTTTGTTCTATCGCTTATCCATGGCATGCTTGTTTTACAGTTGTTTCTACGAGTGTCTGGGAAACCTTACCCGGCAGTATAAACTTTTTTTTTTTTAAGCGCTCGTGAGCTGTTTTCCAACTGTGAGCTCTGCTAAACTCATACGGAAGAATGCTGCAGTTTCTGTCTTATTCAGGGAAGCAAGCTCCTAAATATGCAGCCTGGTGTGCATTAGTTTCTATTCTTGCTTCTTTTTCTTTTTGTAGCGCAGCTCTTCCCCCTCCCCTGCAACGTTTCTGGCCGCATTTCTTCTGGCTTGCTCATTCCTCCCAGAGAGAATGTGGCTGACGGAGAGAGAGAAAACACCTCTTCCAGGCTTTCTTTCCATCTCTCCCCAGCCTAGTGCCTGGCCCTAGGCATGCTGGACTGCACTTCCCATCATCCCCAGCCAGCCATTTTCACCACATGCCATGTTCTTGCACCTGCTTCAACTTGTTCGTTAATTTTCCTTTTGGGAGGAAGGTGTTGCTGCAGATTCCAGGACTCAGAAGCCCAATAGTGACCTGGTTGTTATTCTCAATTATTCATTTTTATACCCACCTGTAGCCAAAGCTCTCTAGGCAGCTTGCAATACAAACTGTTGGTTCATACAACACAACAAGCCAGGGTATGGGTTGTTCTTGAATCGAGGGCTGTTGTGTTTCAGCCCAGCTGCGCAAATAAACTATGGTTTGTTAATCTCAAACAAACCGAACCGTGGTTTCTCTTGGTGGGTTGTTTGTGGATAACAGATCGTGTTTTGTAAGTGTGCTTGGCTTGCTGTGCTTTGTGAACGGATTTTCCCTCCTGAACGGATGCTTTTGTGGAAAGAAAAGATGGAAGAAATGGTGGGGAAGTGCAGAGGTTTATGAAGCTGGATCTTTGCATGATAAAAGTCACGTCTGAAGATCCCTGATTACTCATGTTCCCTTTATTTATCCATCTCTCTTTGGCTTCCTCTTGGTTAAATTCCTTTCTGCTTCTCCTTCACTGCCTCTGGAACACACTGCCCCTAAACACCCTGGTTTCTTTCTTGCAAGTCTTTTAAACCCAACTGAAAACATTCTCAGAAGTATTTGGTCTCTTAATTTCCTGTTTCCCGTGTCCCTTTATTTCTATGTTTCATTTCTGTACCGCCCAATAGCCAAAAGGTTCTTTCGACTGTAAGGCTGCAAAGAGGGTTACTACCTTTCACACAGTTGTTGCTTCCAAAGCAGTTCATAAGCGGTGCCAGGAGTGATTCAAAACCTTGGGAATTTCAGCTTACAGGAAAACTTTGGGATGCTTAGCAGTCCCTTTAAAAGTTGCCGTTGCAACAGAAGGCAGGTTCTGACACACTGTGTACAAACCACAAGCTATAAATGTGTTTGGCATAGCCAAATGCAGAACGGTTGCCATTTGGAAAACAACTGTACAATTTTCAGGAATTGGCTCAGCAAGGGAAATGGTGCTTGGTTGTAATAATGCAGACTAAATTGCAGACTTCCTGGCCAGCAAAGAGGGAAGCTTGCCGTGTTTGGCATATTCTGGGCTGGATGGAAGGTCTAACTGCCCTTCAGACAAACCTCGAATCTAACTCTGACGTGGGCTTTGGAACTATGCTGGCAAATGGGCGGGATTCAGGGGCAAATTCAGTTTTGGAGAAAGCCCACCCCACAGTTTGGGGGTGGGTGGGGTCAAAGGCGAAGTGGGTGGGGCCAAACTAATTTTGAACAGCTGCAGATCGTTTGCCTTTCCCGAGGGAGTTCAGGGTAGCAGGCATGTTTTTCTGCTCTGTATGAACACACGGGAAGCAAACTGGGGCGGCGCCTGGGTTTGGGGAGCCCCTGGAGCAGATTGTTCCCATGGAGCAGCTGCTCTTGCAGCTGAGCTGTGGTCCCATCCGTGCTCAGACTGGTTTGCGTGGCGGATGGAGAGCCAGGGAGAGAGCGATGGCATCTCCCCCCGCCTCTCCGCCACCATCATCTGGGCCACAGAAGAAGCAGGCAGGTGGGCCAACGAGCAGGTAACGATGCAGAGGGGGCTTTTCCCAGCAGAGTAGGTGGCATTCGCACCTGGGGAGAGGGGGACCACGTCCTCAGGGGGGCTGTCTCAGCCATGCGGCCTGCGGCGTAGCTCTTGTTGCCAACGTAACGCTTTGGGTAGCCCGTGGCAAACTGGTGGGGAGCCGGCATGGCGGGGTGGTGAGGGTGTGGGACCGGGGGCCGGGGAGATCCAAATTCTGTTTGCCCCCCAGCCACGAGTCTTGCTGGGTGACTCCTTCGCAGTTTAACCCACCTTGCAGGGCGGTTGTCGTGAGGATGAAATGGAGTGGCGAATTGGAGGAGGCAGCTGGTGACCACTGGACTTGCTGGCCGTGTGCTCCCTCCTTCCCCAGAGGGGCCTGCCTGCACACGCCGGTTGCTGAGGAGCGTGGGCACGAGGTGCCCGCGCCCATCCCGCTGGGTGGGGGTCCTGTGGCCAGCTGGTTGTCACCGTGTGCGTGGACTGCCGGGCTGGATCCGGCTGGGCTTTTCACAGGCCACACCTCACGCTCGCTCTGGCCCACTCTGCTGTAGGTGCGCCACGGACCACAACATCGACAACACGACGGAGATGCTGCATGAGTGGCTGACTGCGGTGGAAAGCCAGTATCGGGACGTGGTGTTCAGATCCGTCGAGGAGCCCAGGTAAGGCTGGCGGGATGCAGGAGAAGCCTTTTCTTGAGAGGAGGTGCAGCAACCAATGATGCTTGCCTTGGATTGAGAATGCTCCTCAGAGGGGGAATGTCTGTCTGTCTGTCTGTCTTGCAAGCATTTGCATTCCGTCCTTCCATACAAGCGCTCAGGATGACTTACATAGTATACAGTTAGAATCACACCATAATAAAACCACAATTAAGAAAATATAAAACTGAACATGATAAACTAAAAAGAAAAGGAAGGAAAAAATAGAAAATGTGACTGCCAGAACAGAGGGGAAAAAATCTTAAAACATCTAAAAGCCTCGATTAATTAAAATGATGGTTGAATTAAAAGCTCTTTACCTGGCGCCGGACGGAGTATAACGCCGGTGGCAGGCGGACCTCTCTGGGGAGCGCATTTCATAGTCTGGGCTTAATCGAGACCCTCCTGCTCAAGGTGGAAGGCGCTGGGTCATGAGTTCCTGCAAGGACCGCTGCGGGGTGAGGCCAGAGCGCTCCCGTAGGCTGCCCTGCCCAGTTTAAAATCTCCCCTCCTCACGCAGTTCTTATCCCGATGAACTTGGGCCCAAGCACTGGACCAGCGAACGCTTCGAACACCTCATGAGGCTTAAGCAAGATGCCCTCGACTTTGCTCGCTCTGAAGAGGCCGACTACATTCTGGTACGTTGCTCTGACGGCTGCCGACCCTGGGGGTTTTGACTCGAGTCGCCCTGCCGTGGTTGCGTACATCTGGATTTCTCCACTGAGATGGGTCTCTTGCACCCCCACCGTCTCATGGCTGAGGGATGCTGGGAATTGTAGTCCAACATCTGGAGGGCGCCCAATTGTGGAAGATGGTCTTCCCACTTCTCTTAGACTGGGAGCATCTGGGCATCTTACCCCCCTGCCCGAAACCCCCCAAAAACTGCAGGTGGCTTCCTTGGAATTTACCAGACACCTTCTCCCGTCCAGCTGCCCTTGTCTGCTGTCTATTTGCTCCTAGAAAGGCCATTTCAAAAGACATCAAAATGACACAGGCCAGGCGTTTTCTGTGCTGAGGATTTCTGCTGGGGGGTGCATCTCCCCGCCCAGGATCCTCATGGACAGTGGTCAGGTTTCTCATGAGAAAGGGGGTGTGCATGCATGTGAATTCCTTCCCTAGTTCGCCGACACGGACTGCATCCTGACGGACAACCAGACGCTGAGGTTCCTGATCGCGCAGAACCAGTCGGTGGTCGCGCCCATGCTGGAGTCCCAGACGTATTACTCGAACTTCTGGTGCGGGATCACTCCCCAGGTGAGCTTCTGCGAGGGCGGACTCTGGGGGTTGCCAGGTAGGCCCCCCGCCCCCCCCCCCAGCACCTGTCAGCAGGCAGGTGCAGCCGCTCTGACTTGCCAGCCTGCCCTGGGGAAGCGTCGCTTTTGCACGAGGACCCGGACCCAGCCTGGCAGCCCGCTTCGTCCTCCGTTCCTGCTGCACACGCCGCTGGCACCTCGACCAGGTGGCATGCCCAGGTGCCGACAGACGAGAGAGACCGATGGGGGCACTGTTCCCAGGGCTGCCCGGAGGAAAGGCACCCGCAGAACCGATCGGGAGCAAGTGGTCCCTTTTCTGGGAGGGACCAGCCCTTGGCCTCGCACTCGCAACGGACCCGGAAGAGGGGACTCGGTCAGCCCTGGTGCAGCACGTTCCCACGGCCCACTCCCAGCGAAAACTCTAGCATTTGCTCCGTGCACTGGGGTGGGACGAGCAGATCGTGCCTGTATTGCTTCCGCCATCCAAACATCTCCTGGTTGGCCTTGTTATTTAACGCTTTTTAAAAAATTATTTAAAGTTTTTACATACCGTCCCATGTTGGTGTCTCTGCTAGATCGGTTCTGTTCAGGACAGTTTCTGGGGGCTTTGCGTGTGCTTTGGAGGAAGGGGTCTTCCGTCCCCAAGGTGGTTCTAAGCATCTCTCTTCCGTTCAAGGGTTATTATCGCCGGACGGCCGACTATTTCCCCACCAAGAACCGGCAACGCCTCGGATGCTTTGCGGTTCCCATGGTGTATGCCACTTTCTTGATTGACCTGAAGAGAGGCGACACTGCCGGCCTGGCCTTTCACCCTCCCCACCCCCAGTACACCTGGCCGTTCGATGACATCATCGTCTTTGCCTACTCCTGTCAAGCCACAGGTGAGAGGGGAAGTGGGAATAGCACTTCCCCTGCGGGACCACAGGGCCACCTGCTGTTAGTAGTGGCTCTGTTTTTGTTTGTATTTATTTATTTTTCGATTTATATCCTGCCTTTTTCCTCAAAGGGCTCAAGGCAGCTTACATCCTTCTCCTCCTCAGTCTTATCCCCACAACAACCACCCTGTGAGGTAGGCTGGGCTGAGAGGCTGTGCCTGGCCCAAAGGCACCCCGTTGGCTCCATGGCTGAGCAGGACTCGAACCCGGATCGCCTGAGTCCCAGTCCCATGCCCTTAACCACTGCGCCGCACTGCCTCTCACTGTTATCATTTAATTGCTGACTGTTTTATTTATTTATTTAGAAAATTTCTATGCTGCCCCATTTGCCGAAGCCTCGGGGCGGCTCACAAATAAATCAATTAAAATATTATAAATTAACAATATAGAACAAATTTGGTTCTATACAGGCCTGCTCAGGCAGCTAACGAGCTTTTGAAACTGGACAACATATGCACTCAACTAAAAGCATTCCTCTGTAATTATGGCTCCATCCTAAGATACACTAAAGCCATTGCTGAATGGGATCAAATACTGGCCTATACCCCCAATGGCTGTACAGATAAATATGCCTTAAATGGGCACCTGAAGGACAAGAGTGTTGAGGGCAGCTAGGCTTCGGCTGGAGGAGAGTTCCAGAGCTAGGGTGCCAACACTGAAAAGACACTGCCGCTGAAAACGTCCAGCTGGAGCAAGCAAAAAGGAAAAAAAAATGGAGAGGGGAAGAAGGACGGAAACAGAAAAAGATGTGGAAAGAGAGAGAGCGAGAGACCGCACCGTTGGTGTTGTGGGTACCGAAGTGAAAACATCGTTTGCACCCCGTTTCATTTATTTTTTTTTTAACATTTACAACGCCCGGTTTTCTGTGCAGGAGCCCAGATGTATTTGTGCAACACGCGGCAGTTTGGGTTTATCAATGTGCCCATGAAATCGCACGAGAGCCTGGAGGACGAGCGCATCAACTTCGTACACCTCATCCTGGAGGCGATGGGTTAGTCCTTGCGCGTGAGCCCTCCCTGGGGGGGATTCTCGTGGTCCATGGGAAACCACGCACCTTTTCGGGGGGCCAGGACCTGCATCCATCGCTGTTTGCTCTTTCCAGCTCTGGGGAAAGCTGAGCTGGCCAGCTTCTGGGGAGGGGATCCACGTGGTGCCTTTCACTAGGATCTCTGATGGTTACGCTGGTAGGTAAGGCACACCTGTTCGGACTCAGGGGCCTCAGGGTGGCCTCCGTCTGGCACAGGGACGGCCGCTGACCATGTTGGCCGCGTCAGACTGCATTTGATGGTATGCAGTTGACAGCGATAGTGGCACAGTCTGTCCGGAGCTGAAGCTGGCCATTGGGGTTGCTCCCCCTCTCTTTTCACCCCCATTTCTCTCTCTCCCTGGCTGCTGTCTCTCTCTCTCTCTCATTTATTTATTTAGAATATTTATGTGCTGTCCTGTCGCGAAGGCCTCAGGATGGCTTTTTCTCTCTTCCTTCCGGCCCTCCCTTCCTCTTCCTTCCGGCCACCTTTTTTCTGCTTTTCCTTTCTCCCCACTCCGTTGGGCTGCCAGAAGAGAGGCCTTTCTGTGCTGGATGCGGAAGCAAAATGCGTCGGCTTGCGTATTCCAGGTCGCCCGCCCTGGCCTTTGCAGATGCCAGCAGGAAATAATTACATATAAGACAATATGCTTTGAAAGACCCCTTTGTTTGTATGTAGTCTCGCTCTTTCGAAAATATTTTCCCTTAGAAGCATTTTGTATATTTATTTATTTATTTATCTAAGATATTTGTATGCCGTCCTTTGCGAGAGCCTCAGGACGGCTTACACAAATAAAATACCTATACATAAAAGTATAACATAAATAAATTAACGATCCACTCTGGCTGCAATTAAAAGATGGTAATAAAATTCCATATTAAAACTTGTTAAACTTGTTAAGATACCCAGTGCAAACTGCATAAAGAGGAGGGAGAAACTGCAGGGTGGGTCTTGGGGAAATAAACCGACCTAATTGAGGCCTGGCCTTTTGGGAAAAATTCACCGGTGTGCAGGAGTATTTCCTCCTCTCCATGCTTTGCATCTCTCTTACAGTGGATGGACCTCCAATGCTCCCCTCCAGACATGTCTACCTGCCACCGAAGCAACCTACCAAAATTGGGTTTGATGAGGTAGGAGAAAGTCAGATTGCATGTGTGTCGCTTCAAACGGCCAAGTCTGAAGGAGAGAGGGATCAGTCTTCTTGTTGGCTGCTGGTTTTGTTTTTAAGGTTAAGTCTCTAGTCCTCATGGCCTAGAGGGGCAAACATTGAGAAGGCTATTTCAACAGCATGTGTGCAGACATGGTGGACATGGACTATCACTTCAAACAGTTTTGCTGCTGCCTCAGAACTTCTTCTCCCTAATTCGGGGCTGGGGTGCCAAATTTTACATGTAGGTACTTATTGTGGGTACTCCCCCAGAGAGCCCCAGAATTAGTATTGATACAACACAGTAACTCTAGGAATGTTCCTCTTTTCCAGGGCCAGGGAATGCTGGAAGCAGTAGGACTTTTTCTGCCTAGTCCTGTGTGTACAATGGAGCCCTTATTTTTCCCTTCAAGAGCAAGCCACCCTAAATTAATAGCCCCTTACCACAGGGAATAGTACATATTTTTGCTAGGAAGATTCATTTCCCCGCTGCTCACTCCCTCAGCTACTCTGAGGATTGCAGCTCAGCAGGAATAAGGCATTCAGAGAGAGCTGGCAGATAAAGCCACAGCATTCCTGCTAATAAACCCAGAAAAAAGAACCCACACAGTTTCAAAATATACTTCAGTCTCATGAGGACTGGAAGCATGCCCTTTCTTTAAATAGAAGTCATAAGTGCCTCCTTTTCGGTCGGTGCGTGTATACCCAATTTTGTTGGCATTTTGATGATAATACCAGAGTTTGTTGACCGAGGGATTGACAGTATCCTATTTCCATATGGCCCATGAGGACTGTACAGGTGAGAGCTGAAAACCATCCACTTTAACACATAGTCAAACGTAATTTTAGGTTTTGCAACCTGGCCTCTGGGGTGGTGGCTGGCGGGGATGACACCCGTCCGTCTGGACCAGAGTCTGCTTCACTCCCCCCCTTGGCCACCCAGCCGCACGCTCTTGGACATACATTTTTCTCTTGCAGGTTTTCCTCATCAACTTGGTGCGGCGCCCAGACCGCAAGGAGCGCATGCTTGCTGCGCTCCTGGAACTGGAGATAGACTCCGTGGTGGTTCCCGCCGTGGACGGAAGGTGACTCCCCGCACCCTCTTCTGGGGAGTGCAGTCTTTGGCTCTGTCCTTTGTTTGAACCCTAAATTGGCCCACTGGAGTCAGTTCTCCACCGGTGGCACCCAGAAATAATAATAATAATTATAATAATAATAATTATAATAATTATTATTATTATAACATTTCTATGCCGCCCCTTGCCGAAGCCTCGGGGCGGCTTACGACACAATAAAATACATTGAAATACAATAGAACATAATAAATTACCATTAAATACAAAAATACAAAAAATACACTGAGTTACAAACATAATAATATAAAATTAAAATTATCAGTATAAAATAAGTAAATAAATAATATAGGAGAAGAAAAGAGAAGGAAGAAGAAGTTGCCCTGGCCAGATCATATATTTTAACAATTAAAATGATGTTTAAATAAAAAGGTCTTTACCTGGCGCCGAAAAACCAGTAACAACGGTGCCAGGCGGACCTCTTTGGGGAGTGAATTCCATAGGTTGGGCGCCACCGCAGAGAAAGCCCTCCTCCGAGTACTTACCCTCCTAATTTCTTTCATAGAGGATTCCTGGAGAAGGGACTCTCCCGCAGATCTCAAAGGGCGGTCGGGCATATACGGATTTCATCCAGGTGAAATCCGATTTCATCCAGGTGAAATCGGGAGCATCCAGAACAAGCACTAAGATTTCTCTGTCCAGCCCTGTGTGGCTGTGGCCAGCCGGCCACGCGTCACCTGAAGCCTTTCCGCACACCGAGAGCAGCCTTTCCACAACGCTAGAGGGATTATTTTCGTTTCTTTCTGCTTTAAAGTCCCTGCTAATACACTCGCCACATACCACTGCGATTTAAAAAAAATCCTTAAAACGCATTGTAAACCATCCATTGAACTCCAACATGCCTAGAAACATGCAAACTCGCTTCTTGGTCAGGTGGACTCTGGGTGGGATCCAGGCTGTGATGGAGTCTTGGAGAGAAAAGCTGGACAACCGCTGACCTGTGGGATTGGCGCCTTAAAGGTGCTGTTCTGAGCATGGCCCAAGGTGGCCCTCAAAGGGCAAAGTTGCAGAGAGCGCCGTCCTCTTGTCGTGGTGGCAGGAAGGACCTCCTTCCGTGGTGGCTTAGCTTGGAAGGCCGGGGCCGGTCCAGGGGGAAGGAGGGGCTCATTCCCAATCCACGTCCAGAAGCCAGCTGGATGCCGTAGCGGGTGAAAGCTCAGGGGGCACAGCGCAAGCCCCCCCGTGGCCCGCTGGTCATGCAGCTGGCAGCCTTCCCAGTGGCCAGGCGTCTTCCCAGCGGAACGCTGTGGCCAGCAGGAGGGGCGCGGAAGGACAGGGCTGCTTGCGCACGGTGGGACTGGATCCCCGGGGGGCACCCAGTGGAACTTGGCTGTGCCCGCCGGACTCGGACTCTGGGCGGCTGCAAAGTGGGCAGGAGTCCAGGAAGCCGAAAAGCAGGGAATGGGGTGGATTTTCTGCTCGGAGCCATGTCCCCAGCTGAGACGCCAGAAGTCTGGGATCTCCTCATCCTCTTCCCCGATTCTCAGTCTGTTCTTGACGTCCTGTGTCTCTGATCCCCGCATTCTCTTCTCCACCAGCGCCCTGAACAGCAGCGACATCAAGAAACTGGGCGTGGACCTCCTCCCGGGCTATTACGACCCTTTTGCCGGAAGGACCCTCACCAAGGGGGAGGTTGGCTGCTTTCTGAGCCACCATCGAGTGTGGCAAGAGGTGAGGGGCCAGGCGGGGTTAGACGGAGCAGAAAAGGTGGAGCGAGCCGGGCTTGCTTGGCACGGAGAGCACCAGGCCGAGGGAGGATCTGATCATGGCCGCGAGTCCAGGGCTGGCTGTGTCCACGCTCCGGAAGGCAGAACACAACACTAAAGGAAAGGGGACTTGGTGGGAGGAGGAAAAGGGCAGACACACCAGGCTCTAGTGCCGAATTGCAAAGTTCTTCTAACTATGAGCTGGGATGGAAAACATGAATTAGTAAAGGAGGTGGCCTGGATGTGCAGGTGAACTTGTGCAAAGGTGCCTCAGGGTGGAAATGAGCCACGCAGTCACTGTAATTCCCTTTGCATGAGGGTAGCCCCACCGCTGCGGGGCTGGGAAGACCGGCCCTTCGGAGCAGAGGTACCGGCTCGGTCCCCCGTGCCTTACATTCTCCAAATGTGTCCAGGGTTGTTGCGCTTATCCGCTCCCTCCCAGCCACGCCAACCGCCCCTGTGCCAAATCAAGGGCCTCCTTCCCCCTGTCTGCCGGCTGCGGTCCTGGAGCAGGCCTGTGGCGGAGCAGAACGCCCCTCTGGCCTACAGCCCATGCCTGTCTGTGCTTCAGATAGTCGCACGGGGACTGGAGAGGTCGATCGTGTTGGAGGATGACGTGCGCTTCGAGGCTTATTTCAAGAAGCGGCTGCTGAGGTTGATGGCCGAAGTGGAGCAGGTGCAGCTGGACTGGGATCTGATGTGCGTTGCTTTTCTGATGTCAGCCACCCCCTTCTCCCTCTCCCACTCGCACAGAGGATCTGGCGCAGAGAATCCGACACCTTGCATGCTTCGTGCAAAGATGCTGCTGCCACTGCTGAGGGCTGGCTGACTCGCTGTCCACAGAGCTTGCTTTTTGGCCAGGTGGAGCACAGGGAACGGGTCGAGTGAGCAGAGCAGAGCTGGCGTTCGGCCTGATTTTGGTGTCCCTGAGAATCTGTGGACCGACGTGGCTCTCAGATGCAGAAGCGTGTGCGCCCTTGGCTTAGCAATACTGAATTAGGTGCTTTGAACTCAGCCTGTTCCCCGTAATACTCGGGGATCTTGGGCATGCAGAACATGCGTCTTCCCCATGAATCTTGTGCATTATACCTTCTCTGGCCCCTCCTGCCTGCAGGAGGGATGTGGAAACGAAGCACAGGGCCCTTTTGGTGTCTTTCCAGCTACCTGGGCAGGAAACAAGTGAACTCGGAGGACGAGGCGCCGGTGGAGGATGTGCGAAACCTGGTGGTACCCGAATATTCCTACTGGACTCTGGCTTACGTCATCTCACAGCAGGGGGCCCAGAAGCTGCTTGATGCCCAGCCGATCTCCAAAATGCTGCCAGTGGACGAGTTCCTGCCCATCATGTATGACAAGCACCCCAAGTAAGGAGAAAGTCCAAAGGCTGAAGGCGCTCCCCTCCACTTGCTAGTTTTCCTTTTAATCATTTCTTTTCCAGAAAAAGAAAGTCTTCTGCAGGGGAATGAGAAAAGACGGAATGATTTGCCTTCTTCATGCGCTCGCCCTTCACCAATTTCGGAACCTGACGAAAGAACCTACTTCTCTTGAGACCTTCCCAGAGAGGTGCCAGCGAAACGCCTTGTTCTGAGCCAAAGATCCTGGGCGACTTTATGTTCGACCAGATGGAAAAATGAGTTCAGTTTTAATATGCAGCAGGGGTGAGAGAGGCGCATCCCCTGAGCCCACGTCCCCCCAGAAATATGGGGGAAGCTCCCCCCCCAGATGTAACTGCTGCAGAGTACCCAGAGGATACCATTCGCTTGCTTGCGAGAGAAATCGGACCCCCGTGGTACTCTGTAGCAGCTCTGCTGTTTTCGTTCCTGTTTTTTAGCATTTGTTTCTGTGGGGTGTCGATTTTTTTTCGATTTATATCCTGCCTTTTTCCTACAAGGGCTCAAGGCAGCTTACATCTCCTCCTCCATCTTATCCCCACAACAACAACCCTGTGAGGTAGGTTGGGCTGAGAGTCTGTGACTAGGCTGTGTGGGCATCTGCAGGTGGATCCAACAGGAATTCTCCCCACATTTTCCGCCGGATCCATCCCAGCTTGTAGCATTCCGGTTCTGCAGAACTCTTAGTCCCCCCCGACGGCTCAGGATGAACCGATCCCGTTTCCAGTACTGGTCAAGCAGAGTCTTGTCTCATGCGCAAAGCGCAGCCTGCTCTCCCCCCTCCCCAGCTCCACCCGCTCGCCACGGCAGTCCCTCTTAAGGAAAAACATCTGCTTTCGTGAGCTCATTTCTTCTACCAAGAATGGAAAAGAAGACTCAGCGCGTCCCCAGGAGCAGGAATGGCCGGGGAGGGAGGGGCAGCCCAAAGACCACACTGGAGGGCCGCTGCCAAGCCTTTTTTTTCAGTTCCTCACTGGAAATATTCCAGAAGCCAGATTGCTGGGGTTAAAATGCAAGCTTTCGGAGCCAAGCTAGATAGGAGGTTGGCGATGTCTCTGCCCATTCCTGCTCTTGACTCTTCCGAGCAGGCAAGCTGTCGGGGGAGGATTTGGACCAGGGTGGTCTGGCAGGGGGGCCACCTGGGGAGGCATGAAGCACTGAGGTGTGTGTGGGGGGGAGCAGTTTGGTGGCAAAAGGGCTCCAGAGGAAGAGGAGGGTGACTTTCTGCCTGCTGCACAGTCCTGCCCTCCGCAGCGCTGTCCTTTAAAAGAGCAGCGCTGGGGTGGGAAGCCTGGTGAATTCAGAGCTAGAATCTGTGTTTCACTTGGAAGGAAGGAAGGAAGGAAGGAAGGAAGGAAGGAAGGAAGGAAGGAAGGAAGGAAGGAAGGAGGCGTTGCGGCGATGTAATTAAAGGCTGCCCAGACCTGTCGGCAGGACCTGTCGGTGTCACTGGCTTGGCGGAAGGCCCAGTCTTTGTCAGTCCTGTCTGGAGCTCCCAGGGCGTGATTGTTCTGCGCTCCTGACTTGCAGCATCTCCCTGCCGTGTTCAGCGGCACGAAAGCCTCGCAGGGGCTGCTTGCAACGGCGAGGAACGAGGCGGACTCTGCCCACGGATTCCAGTCCAGACAGCATGACACAAAATGGGAAGGGGCTGGTGGGAGGGGGGAATCTGCAAGGCTCAAGCTGCGGTTCCTGTGTCCTTCGGGGTGTTTCTCCTGGTCTGGGAAGGGCACAACCAGGGGCACAAGCGGCCTTTCTCTGGCTGGTGTCCAGGCCGGAATGGGCTCTTTTGGCCCTGCTCCTACTTCCTAGGAGTACCACCTCTTGGCAGCCCTTGAGACCCCTGGGCGGGTCCCTCCTTCCCAGGTAACAGATGGAGAACTAAAGCAGAGCCCCAAGTGCGGGGAGGGGGGGCCTCTGCCTCATCCTACTGTCTCGGGAGACTTGCCAAGGTGAAGGTCCAGGGCCACAAAGACCCTCCGGTGCATCAGATTCCCCCTGCATCCATGTGGGCTTCATCATTGCTGCCCCCACAAAAAGATGTGTGCAGTTGTGGGGGGTGGGGGCAATTCCTGGTCTCCCTGACTAGAAAAGCCTCCCAAGTGGATACCTTTGAGCCCTGGTTAAGACCCCAGCCCCCGAGAAAGGCCTGCTGCTGCCCCCCCTTTCCCTTGTGCTGGCTGGCCAGCCGGCCGGCCCACAGTTCTTGTGGGCCTTTCCTCCAGATGAGTAAGAGCTTGACAGGCTGCCGGCCTGGGCGACGCTGAGCATCTTGGCCGTGTTTCGAGACTTTCCATCCAAGCCGGGCTCTCTCTCCAAACCAGAGCATCACCTGGACTTGTTTGGCACTGGGGCAGCTCTACCCAGCATTGCTTTCTCCTCCTCCCCGTAAAAACCGCTGAAGCATCCATCGGCGCTTAGGGCGCTGCTGCTGGCGGGGGGCCTCCATTCCCCTCTCTCATGCGCACGGATGTTTTTGTGTGCCCCTTCTCTTGGGCTCGGTGCCGAGCTGAGCCCAGAATGTCGATCCTAGTGCTGTAACGGTCTTCCTCTCGTCTTCCCTCTTCCAGTGAGGAGTACAAAAAGCACTTCAGCCAGCGAGACCTGCGGGCTTTCTCTGTGCATCCCCTCCTGGCCTACCCAACCCACTACACCGGCGACGCGCAGTGGATGAGTGACACGGAGACCTCCACCATCTGGAACGATGACTCGCAGAAGACAGACTGGAGCGGCTCCCAGAAGACGCTGAAGGATGTCCGTGTCCCGAGGGGGACGTCCGGCCAATCCTTTCACCCCACATCTAGGGATGAGCTATAACACCTGCCCAGTAAGTGACGCCTGGGAAACCGCTGTGCCACAGATGTGAAAGCACTCGCGAATCAGACGCTGCCGGAAACGTTTCCCGGGAGACGGTGCTCTCCTGGCTTCTCCCCCCATCCTGTTTACTGGCTTTGTGTCCGTCCATCCGGCTTTCCAGCTGTTGCTTCTGATGTCTGCGTGCAGAGCCAGTGAACGCAAGCGGGTTGTGGGGATGCAAGAGAAGGGTTGTGGTCAAACATGGGGAAACCAGAAGCTGCCGGGATTTTTCTCCCTTCCTCGTGGGAATCTGAGATACCCAGGAATGGGAATACGGCATCTGCTTCAAAGGCGCTGCCTATTTTTATTTTTTCAAGATACTGCCTAGGTCGTTGGGTTTTGTTTTATTTTTTAGGTCGCAGAACTGCTCTGCACTTGCCAGGTTGCCTGTATTGACATCACACCTGCCAGCCAATGTGTTGTGCATGAAACGGGTGCTTTGTCTTGTTTCTGACCTGAGTGCAACCCTGCACAGAGCATGCATGCGCTGCTGGTCGAATGACACTGCAGTTGTGTGTTCTACACTCTCTGCATACGCCAGCGTCACCACTTCCATTTCTGGGCTAGTAAATTGGCACCCTGGAAAGAGGACAGTGGTCATTACAGGGCCAGTGGCTTTTGGAAGGTCTGCCTTAGGCACCGTTCTGGATACAGCTTGCCTTTTGTTGAAAGTTCTTTGTTGGCTCGACGTGGCACGGTGTTACCGGGAAAGTCTCCCTCTCTCCTTCAACGAAGAGCATTCCAGGGTTGTCTTTTTCATGAGCGAGCCGTTTTGCGGAGTTATTTTGCTGAGTTTTGAGCTTCAGTTCTGCCCAGAACAATTCTCCAGTTTGCAAACAAGCGCAGCAAAATAAAACGTCCCCAGGGGGAGGTTTCCTGGCTTTTGAAAGCGGTGCTTGCTGCAGCGGCTGCTTTCCTACCTGGGCCGCCTGCAGCAACAAGTTGCCGATTGTGCTTTTTGTGTGTCATTAATTCACGTGCTGAGCTTCACAGATCGGCACTCTCTCTGAGGGATCCGCTCTGGCCAGTGGACAATCCAATTCCCATCATTCCAGGATGTTTCTGCTACTTAGAACCCTCCAGACTAGGTTTCCACCCCAGTCATTTTTTCTTTTCGAATTATACTTGCAGTACAAGTGATTATTGTGACTTGCTCTGAGATCGTGTGTGAGATAAATTTTAGGCGTAGAGAAAGGCGATTTGCGGGGGCCAGTATGCCCATTGGCCGCTGTCTGGGAACAAGCTGGGAGCGGTGGTCCAGCCCACCGAGAAGGGAGCCGGCTGGCAAGGCTGATCCTAGCACGGTTGGTTTGGCGCTTGTGTTGAAACGTGGGCGACTTATTCCAGCTCGTGACAGTGAGGTTGGGAGGAGGCCACCTGAACGAAGAAAGTTTGCGAAAGTACGTTCGTGCGTCAGTCAGAGAGAACCATGCTGCTCGCATGAGGCTCCTCCACGAGCCTTCCAGGACCCAGGGGTGGGTCCTGCCGACGGGCGGGAGAGTAAGCGCCCCTTTGCAGATTGCAGAGTGCGACTGTGGGGACTCACTCCCGCGGGAGGCAGTGCCAGCTCCCGGTTTGGACGGGGTTCAGCAGAGATCGCGTGCATTCACGGAGCAGCGGGCGTCGTGGCTACAAGTTCTGATGGCTCCTTGCAGCTGGAGCAGCAGGTCAGCCACTGTGGCAGCCTCGGAAGCTTGTTGATCTGAGAAGTTTTAGCACCAGCAGGAGCCCAGCCTCCGGGGGCAAGCCGTGGCCCCTTCCCGCACGGAGGACACCTGCGAGAGCGGCCTGTCTTTGGCCTGTTTCTCCGTGCCCTGTTTCTTGCAGTTGGCTTCGCCGGCCGTGTTTCCTTTGCTACTTTGGCTGACATTTCTCCTCCCTGGGGCCTTCTGGATTTTTCAGGAAGCAGGGAGGAGGCAGCGGAGCAAGCAGCCTTTTCGAAAGACTGATTTGCAAAAGTTTCCTCTCTTCCTTCCTTACTGTCAAATAGATGGGTGTAGATCTTCGCCAGAATCTTACTCTCGGCTGGTGCTCTCACCAGGAGTCAAAACAAAAGTAACAAAACCTTAGGATAACATTAAAGCAACATTTAAACCATGTTGATTTAAGCCCTGTTCAGGGTGCCTCAAATAAGACAGAAGAATAACTCTGGCTTCCCTTTAAAAAGCCAACAAGATTCTAGCCCTCAAGGCCTGGAAGAACCTTCAGCACCTGCATTAAGCAGTCAGAATCCGTTGCTTCAAGGCTTTCTAGCACAGGCACGTACAAGCACCCTGCAAGACCAAGGCAAGCTGTAAATAGAGAGGTCCGCCTGGCGCCGTCGTTATTTGTTTTTTGGCGCCAGGCTAAGCCCTTTTTCTTTAAAACTTATTTTAATTGTTCATTTATTATGTATGTTTAGGATTTTAAATTTTATGCCGAGATGTTACCAAGTTTTTAATGAAATTTTAATGTACTAACTCTTATTTATATATTTTAATTATGTTGTGAGCCGCCCCAAGGCTCTGTTGCGATGAGGGCGGCATAGAAATGTTTTAAATAAATAAACAAAATAAAATATTCTCTCCCCATTGTCCACCAGTGGAGTTTTCTCTCTATAACACCCATCTCTTCACTCCCAAGGTCCGTCACCTGGCCCCTCACGAAGAAGATGAAAGATCTGGGCTAAATTTCCCCATTCTCTGCCTTCTCTCCGGACACCCTTTTCTTGAGATGCTTGAACAAAGAGGGGACTGTGAGCAGAAAACGCTTCGAAGGCCGGGATGTGCTTTCCCATCGGCTCTAGAATCTCCCAAGGTGTTTTTCCGCCCGAACCAGATGGAACTTTTCCCTTGCGGCCTCTTAGGAACAAATCTCGATTCACAAACACGACAGAATGGCTCTGTGAAGGCCATGACCTCGGATCCCTTTGGATGTTTCTTCTCCTCTTTAGCCCACCTGGGTAGCCACTTTGGACAAATATTTGCTGAGAGAGCAACCCAACCTTCCAGCTTCATATGAACTCTGGTTTGGATAAATTATTCGTCCTGCTTCGGATTAGGAGCTTTCTGCTCCCTTTGACTGCCTTGAACACTACGAACAGATGGGATTTTCCATGCCAGCCAGTCACAGGACAACACAGGACTCCTTGGACTTAAAGACTGTGATTCTGGACAAGGATGGAGCAAAAATTAAGCTTTCATCTCCGGTTCTCTCGCTTCACCTGGAGTCAACGCAGTCACCTGAATGGTGGTTTTAAGTGGGATAAGCCAACTGTGTTGCAAATTAAACACACACTCGTATTTAAGTTTATTGAATGTTGTACTTGTTGCGGTTTTATTCCTTTCTTTTGAGCTGTGATGCCCAGCTTTTTCCCCTTGACTCCTCTTTCCTCTAACACCCACAGAAATTCATCACACCAAGTTTTCTCCGTGGTGGAGAAAGGGTCACATGAGGTCGTGTGCCTCTGATGGCACAGAAGCCCTGTTTAGAGGGAAAGTTGGCAACCCATCATGGTTCTTGCCTGTTTCCCTGGGACACCAGCATGCAGGACTAGAGGCGAATCGGTTGCAAATCCTGCACTTTCAAAAAAACACAAAATGCATTTTGCTAGGCGTGAACTCTAGCTGTGCCGTTCCCCAAGACGATTTATTTGCACATGTACTTTTCGTTGTCCACACAATTTTAAATTTTTTTTCATTTTTTCAAGCCCCCCAGAACCTCCCCGAAACCATGTTGACTGGGGAAAAGAACCCATGTGCATGGGGTGCTGTGCCAGGCGCGAGTTTTACAGGAGGCCTGTGCATCACCGTGGAAAAACGATCCCCTGTGCAAACTCCACCCTGAGTTGGAAAGCTCCCCGCTCATAGATCACTAGCGTGAAAGGCTGGTCTGGGAATATCCCTGAGCGCTTAGCTTTCCATGAGCAGAGCGTGTGTGTAAATGGAAGAGGACCATTCATTCGGGACCCTCCTGCATGCTTCAAAGTGCTGCCTCCCTGAGAATGAAGGCTGGACCCTGGAAGGCTTCTGGATGCAGGAAATCAAAGCCAGAGAGGCGCAGCTGGCAAGGCTGCCTGGCCCTTTAAGGCTCCGGTCCTCTGTTGCTATGTACGTCTCCTAGCAACCGTGTAGCCGTGCCGGCTCTTAAAGGGACGGCGACAGCCTCCCCCATCCCGACTTGCCCCAACCTTTCTGCTTCTCCCCTTCGGGGGTCTCCCTGCAGCAGCCCCGATGGCACCCAAGAAGAAAGGGGGGCGCAAGAAGGAGGAGGCGCCCAAAGAGCCCGAGGTCGACGACAACATCGTCCCGGAGCACAGCCGGGAATTTTACCTGATTCAGATCCGGGATCTGGAGGGGCGACTAGCCCGGTGGGTACAGGCGTGTTGCTTGGCCGTGTGCATGCGCAAAGCGCATTCTGGGGTGTTTGTGCCCTGCAGGAACAGGGCACCTGTGTGGAGGTCTGTCAGCCTGTGTATTTCGCCTCTGTGGGGTGTATATGGGCAGCCCACCCAAAAACACCCCCTCCCACCCTCACTCCAGGCATCTTGGCCTGCAGCTCCCCGGATTCCTGGCCAGTGGCTGCGTCAGCGGATGGGGGATACGGTCCAGAAACTGCGGGGGGGGGGGGGTGATCTTTCGTGGAAGCAGCGGTGGAGCTGGGTCTTGGAAGCCGAGTCGATAGCTCCATTTTATCCTCGCAACAAGCAGTCGTGCCGAGAGTCTGTGGCCGCCCCAAGTCCTCCCGTGAGCTTCCCGGCTGAGCAGGGAATCGAACCGGATCTCTCTCGCCCAACACTGCTTCACCACACCTCGTTGCGACTCACCCTCGTCGAGACCCGCAGCCTCTCGATCCGCTCGTCGCAGGGTGACAGATCCGTGCGTCATCCGTGCGCTGGCGGAGCTGGGTCGACGTCCTCACGGGTCGGCTCTCGCGGGGGCACGAGCCCCCAGTGCAATTGCTCGGCGGCCAAGGCACGGACAGGCAGGGTTATTCTCTGGCACGACGCTGAAAAGCCATTCACACAGCGCCTTTACCCCATACCGACCGAGGGGTGTTCTGACCGTGACGCCCGCTTGCTTGTTCGGCTGCCGCCTGCCCCACACGCCTGATCTGGGGGGTCTTCTGGGCAGGATGGTTCTGTGTCTCAGTGAGCCCAGATGGATCACGATCCCCGTCTGCCTTGGAGCACCCCAGCCGCTTTGGGCAGGCAAGGGACCCCCCCCCCCCGAGTTTGGAGGTGTGACCAGAGCCTGCTTGTGTTTTGCCATGAGCTGTTAAAAGCAGGATGCAGGGCAGAAAGTGTGGGGTCCCATCCTTTCCATCACGGTACCCAGCACAGGGCACTGCATCCCACTGGGCGCATTTGGAACTGGGTGTTGCTTCTGTCTGGGGTTCCGACCTATTTCTATTATCCAGGTGCGCACCCCGGGCTCTTCGTTGCACGTGGTGCGTAGTGTCCCTTGGAGTACGTGTGTGTGTATTGTGATGGGTGGCGCATGGGCGTGTGTGTGTGTGCTTGGGGGGTCTGGAGTGGGGTCCAGGTGCTTTGCTTGACTGTGTCCGTGTCTTGCTAGCTACCAGCAGAAATGGGACGAGTTGCAAGTGAGCGACGACCTCTTCCGGGCCGAATATGAGAAGATGGTCGGAGACAACAAGGAGATCGTGGCCTTCCTGAAGAAGACACTCAACCAGCGGGTGGACGAGATCGCCGAGCTCTCGCTGCAGCTTCAGCTGCTGCAGCAGGCCAAGGACTCAGAGAAGGACGCCTTCGAAGCTCAGCTGGCCCAGCTGCGGCACGAATTTCAGGAGACGAAGGACATGCTCACCTCGGAGAACATGGCGCTAAGTAAGGAGGGCCTGGTGGCTCTGGAAAACCAGATGGAGAGGCTTGGGCTCCTTCCTCCCCTGGCTTCTCACCCCCTCCCCATCACTGCTCAGACAGGCAGAAAACAAAACCGGGGTTGCTTCCTCTTTTAATGCCTGCGCTTGTTCAGGCCCTGTTTTCAGATGCACGCAAAATATTTTGTTTGGAGGTTCGAATGAGAAAGCGTTGTGTGGTTGCAGATGTGTGAAAGGATTTCCGCAGGGCTTTCCACAGGGCGGATATCTAAAAATGAAAATGAGAGTTAATCCCCACACCTTTTCAGGCATGCAGATGGCTCAGGGCTACGAGCCAACATATCTCATCTGCTTGGAATGGGAGCTGGAGGGAGGAAAGCGAAGAAAAGCTACTCTGAGATAGCCAGCAGCAGCCCAGGCTTCGTGGCTACCCGGCTGAAGAACGGAGCTGTGGGTGGCTATGTATGTTCAAACTGTGCCGCACGACTTCAGCACCCTCAGGATTTCTGTCCCAAGAAACAAATTCCTCCCCTGCCAATTGTCACACTCAACCAAGTGTGGAAAACAGTGGTGGGCCTGAAATATTATTCTCCTGCTCAGTTAAAGATTTACCATTAGATGCTGTAAACTAAAGTCTTCACAAAATCTCTCTGCTGGCTAACGAATGCAGATCTTGCCAAACCTTCTTGCGAGTTTCTGAGGTCCGGCAAAGCTTTGCATATTTTAATTTTTGCTTTTTCTCCTTTTTAGTCATACAAATGCCAATCACTTTGCTCAAAGGAGTGCAAAAGAAGGGATTGAGGCATTAATTAGCATCCTATCTTTCCTGGGAATTTTCTGTGTTCCCTTTCCCAACGACCCTTTGGATGAAGGGAGGCAGGAGTGGGGAATGCCAGGCTTCCTGCTGAACCAGATGACCTCTGTTGACAAGGTGGCAAGTTGGCTGCCCTGGAGGAATTTCGGATCCAGAAGGATGAGCTCATGGCCAAGTTTTCCGACCTCGAGGAGCAATTGACGAGGCAGGAAGAGAACCACAAGGAATATGTTTACAACCTGGAGAAGAAAACTGTGATAGATAAAGAGAGGTACGTGCCACGTGATGTGACAGTGGAGGCTGTCCTTGTTACCTGGTCAATACTCCCATTTTACAGAGGAGGACCACTGAGGCCAAGAGAGACATGTGGAAACTTGAGCTTCGTTCTGAAGTTTAGTCAGAAACTTCTTTGTAGTTTTGGGTACGGCTTCTGGACCAGGGGTGGGTGAGCACGAGCCAGGGAATCCAGGAGAGCCCCTCCGGGAACATGCCCCTTCCCACAGACGCGAACTGCTTTTTTGCAGCTTCCGAAGGTTGTGATGCTTTTCCGGAGGCCTGGTGCCCCCCAGTAAGAGCTTGAAGTGCCAATCCTTTGGCCGGGGCCTCACCCCGTTGCTCCAGCCATGCCCGCTGGCTGCAGGCTCCACCTCCCCTCCGCCCCGCTAGAACCTCTCCAGAATCTGGTTCTCGGGCCGGAAAAGATTTCTCCACCACTGCTCTGGAAAAACCACAGAGAGCTGCTGGCTGCCTGGGCGGCAGGCCTCCCGGGGGCTTGGCCGGCAGCGGAGGCAGCCAGCGGGCCCTTGCCGTGCCCAGGGGCGGTCCGAGCGGGGACTTGGCTCCCCCTTGCAGGCTGAAGAAGGAGATGCTGCACCGGGTGAACGCCGTGGCGGCCGAGTTCCGGAAGGTGTCCAACAGCCAGATGGCGGAGACCACCAAGCGCACCATCCGCGAGAATGTCACCATCAGCCTGCAGCTGACCAAGATCACGGAGCAGAGCCTCCAGCTCATCCAGGAGAACGACCGGCTGAAGGAGGCGCACACCAGGACCCTGAAGCAGCTGGACCTTCTGGAGCAAAACGAGAGGCGGATGGCCAAGACCAGCGTCAGCAACCAGAAGGTGAGCGGCCTCCTCGGGCCAAGGAATCTGCTCTGCGCAGCCAGCTGAGCGGCTGCTTTTGGCATCCCGCCTATTTTCCCCTTGCGCGGGGCTCCTGTGTTTCATCCTCACAACAGCCCTGTGAGGTTGGCCGGATGGAGGGCAGGGGCAGGTCCAAAGATGGAGAGGCCCGGAGGGCACTCAGGCACGCCTCTCCCCAGTCTCAGAGATCCCAGCCTCTCCCCCGATCCCCTTTTCCGCCCCGTCCAAGGCCAGTTTCCTGACATGGGCTCGCGGAGCTCTCCCACAGCGTTCACGTCTCTGGCTGGTCCGCAGCTGATTTGGATGCTGACCACCAAGTGCAAAGAGCTGCAGGCCCAGGTGGACGAGCACCTGCAGGTGAAGAGGGTCCTGGCCCAAACCCAGAAGACCAACGAAGTGCTGGAGCAGCAGAACCAGGCGCTCAGGTTAGTGCCTCGCGTGAGGGGTGGGTGGTCCGCCGTCGCACAGATGCTTCTCTGCCCACTCTCTTATGTCGCGGGGAACGCTCCGGGAGGAAGCCGGCGACGGCACTCGAAAGTGCAGAGGGCGGCGTGCTGGGGACTGCCGATTGGCCCTCCCGGTCCCTGTGTGGCATCATTCGCTACATGCTCAGGAGTGCCCTTGGTTGCAGCTCAAACAGCACCAGCCAGAGAAGGCCCCTGTGCTGCCAGGCCAGCCCCAGGCCTGCAGGAGCCGGTGCTGGCTGCAGGCTTCGGAGGGGCCCCTTCCCACGATCGTCACCGGCTGCTCTGCCTCCTCCTCGTCCCCATCGCCAGGCGGGGAGCCGAGGTGCAGGGGGGGCATGGTGTCCCCCTTCCTCTGGACCAGGCTGAGAAGCAGGTGGACGAGCGACGCAGGAGAAGCAGAGGCGCCACGGGGGCTGCTCCTTCGGGGCCTGATCTTTATGCCGAGCCGGGTGGATGGACCTCTGCGAATGGTCAGGAAACGCCATCATGTTGCCCCCAGCCGATGGCGACCCCATGAATTAGACCCCTGCAAAACGTCTTGTCCGCGACGTCTCTGCGGTTCTGTTCTGAATTCAAGGCTGTGGCTTCCTTTATGGAAGCCATCCGTCCGTCCGTCCGTCCCTCCTGGGGACCCCCGAAATTAGGGGCGATAAAACAAATCTGTGGGTGTGGAGGGGACATCCGACAGGCTGAAAAACGAGAGAAACCCAAAGGTGGAAGGACTCGACAATTTTAAGAATTGCAGCACCGTTTGGCAGTTTCTGCGCGGTGGCGGAGGGTGCGTTCAGCCTCACACTTCGCGCCCTCTAAGCTGTGCCCACGTCCCGTCCCTCCGGCTCTCCCCGCTCGTCCAGAGAGGAGCTCAGCGCGCAGAAGGACGAGCTGGCGCGGAAGATGGCCCAGGAGCAAGACCGAGGGAAGAGCCTGCAGGACGAGCGGCAGCGGAGGCTCATGGCCGAGCAGGCCCTCCGGCACGCTGCCCGGGGCCTCAAGGAAGTGCTGGCGGTGAGTCCCGGATGGTGCACGCGGTCCAGGGGCCGCGCAAAGCACACGCGGTCGCTGTGAAGGTGGGAGACGCGTGCTGGGACATGTCCAGGCCCCGCTGCCGGGCTCCACGCTGGGGAGGCACGGGGGCTGGTCCGGTGGGCAGCAGCCAGCAACCAAGCCCGGCCGTCCGGAGCTGTGCGGCTTGGAGAAGGGCCACCGTCCAGAGGGCCCCCTCAGTCCCCACCCCGGAGCCCTGCCAAACCATGAGCGAAGGTGGCCCGTCACAAAAGCCACGGGGGTTGCTCCCCCTCCTTGTAACGCTTTCCTTTCCTTTCCTTTCCTTTCCTTTCCTTTCCTTTCCTTTCCTTTCCTTTCTGAGGAACCCCTTGTAATGCATTCATTTCATTTTCTCCCGTAAGGAACCCAAATCCCCTCCTTCCATTTTATCCTCCCAACAACAGCCCTGTGAGGTAGACCCGAGCAAGCGAGCGACTGGCCCAAATTTCCCCAGTGAGCTGCATGACCAGAGCGGGGACTTGGAAGAACCCGGATCTTCCAAGCCCAGGCTAAACACCTATGACCGCAGACAGTCTCTCCATTCCATTTCAGTGTCCCCAGAGAGAGAGGGCTTGAACGGGGGGGGAAAACTTGGGAAAGGCACCTTGGGAAATTAAAATGGACGGCAGAAGCGCTCGGCTTTCGTTCTGGGAGTGGCCGGAGGGCAGAACTGCCGGATTTAGAGGTGCAGGCTGTAGTAGGTGCACCTTTGCAACAGCAGCTTTGGCGAGGCGCTTGCAACCGTTCAGAAGCTGGGAGGAAGATGCTCGAAAGTTGGGAAAACCCCAAATGGTTGCCGGTCCGCATGGGGCCTGTAAGAGGGCCCGGGGGCCCCATCCCTGACCGAAACCTTTCTTTAGTTCGGGCCCGCAGCGTAGGGTGTGTCCAACTGGCGCCGGTTTCGCCGAGAGCCCGGAAGCCACGGGCGCTGGCCTTCTCTGCCTCCGCAGGAACGGCCGCTGGACGGCGAGGCGGACGTCGACGTGATACTCCAGCTGCGGCGCAACGACGCGTTGCACGGCATCCTGACCCTCCTGCGCCGCAGCATCGAGCGCATCGAGGCCGACCAAGCCCTCCGGCCCTTCCTCCTGGACAGCAAGCTGCTCCACGTGCCCAGTGCGATGGACAGGTGAGGAAGAGGACTGCCCCGAGGAGGGCCGGCTCCGTGGCCAGGGGTGCAAGCCTTTTCTGGGAGCACATCTGGCTCTGTTCCAAGCATCCCTTCCAGCCACCCCCACCCCGCTTCCGGTGCAGCGGCCGGTCGGTTTGCGCAGCTTCTGGAAGCGTTGTGGGGAAGCGGGGGGTGTCGGCCCAGCCACGCCGCCCCTCAAGCTGTCCCTGTCCCTCCCTCTCTTGTAGCCCCCCCAGCGAGCTGCGGGTCCGGCCGGTTCCCACCATGTCGCACTTCAACATCTTCAAGTTCGCGAAGTCGCGGCCCGCCCACAGCCTGCCCTCCCTGAGCTCGCTCTCCCGGACGCACGTCGACACCCTGCGGCCCTTCGCCAGCGCCAAGGAGGTGAGCTGGAGGGGTGCGGGTGGCCAGCCCGTGGCTAGTTGGCCCCCGAGCCAGCTGGCCAGCAGGGGGAGATGGCCGGGGCCAAATCTGGAAGCCCGGGGGGTGCTGTTCCCACCGCAGAACTGGCCTGGTTCTTCCTGCCAAGCCCTACGGCGCCACAGTCCAAGCCCGACCTCCTGGCCTGCAGGATCCCTGCCCCAAAGTCCTTCCAGCCGTGATACTCGGAGCTCCCGGATTCCCCAGCATTCCTATGCCAGCCAGGCAAAGGGGCTTGAATTCCGCGACGGGGGCAGGAGGGGGGAGGCGGGGGTGAAGGCTGCTCTCTCCTGCAGCCTGCCAGCTCCCGGGGCAGAGCGTGCCCCCTTTGCCCTGAGGCGCCCCCTGCGGTTAGCCGAAATCCACTTCCCCAAGATGCCTGCCTGCTGGCAACCCTCCACCCCGTGTCCCTGCAGCCCTTGATAGCGTTGTGGAAGGCGGAGATGAAAGCAGACGAGGAGAAGCTGTGGGACGGGGTCGTCCAGAAGGGCCTCAGCCTGCCAGAGACGGTGGGGCAGCGCGCCTCCCAGGAGCTGCTCGGGAAGTAGGCGGCGGGGGCGCCTGTCCCCTTTGCTCGGTGCTGGCGCCTGCCCCACGGAGGGACGGCGGCGATGCGGCGGCACCGGGGGAATTCTCTGCCGCTGCGGCGGGAAGAACGGACAGTCTGGGCCACGCAAAGCCACCCCATTAAAAGGTTCCAGAGCCACGGATCTATTTTGAATTGGACCCGGACCGTGAGCCCAGAGGAGCTGCTGGAGCCCTGCAGTCACTGGGCCAGTCTGCCCGCTAGCAGCCCTCCCCGTGGCCCCCAGCTGGCGAGCCAGCCCAGCAGGTGGGGCACTGCAGGGTGCCAGGCAGGGGAGGACAGTCTGGCTTTAGGCCTCACGCCAGAAAAGGGTTCCTTTTGAAGCGTGCAGAATGCGGGGCAGCTTCCCTTGCTTTGGTGGCTGGGCTTTGCCGCACGTTTCCTATCTTGCACCAAGGCGCAACAGCACGAGGGGGAGGGACCCCGCTTGGCTGCCCACCCCCCTGTAAGGGAGGACAAGCAGGCCTTTGCTTGGCCCTCATAAGGGCCAGAAACATGCTGCTTGCTTTTGCCTTGCAAGAGGACAGCTGCGATTCTTGGGGCGGTCGACTCGCAAGTGGTCCTCCCAGTTCGGGGGCTTCCGCAGCACACTCGGACCCCTCCGCCCCCAAGCCGAGACAGAAGGCTGTCCCGCGAGGGCTGTCCCATCGGAAGAAAGACAACCAACAGCTCCGTTCAGTGATTTCCAGACTTATAAATGCGTGAAGAGTGACAGGGGGGTCATGTGTCCTCTCCCAGGAGAGGGGCGCTGGCCGGGGGCCTGGGGGCGCCCCTGCTCTGGCAGCTGTCCTGCTGGATGTGTTCCAGCAGCATTTGCACCGCCTGGTCGAAGACTTGCGGCAAGAGCTCCTGTTCGGCGCTGGTGAACATGCCCAGGACGTAGCGGTCCACGGCGGTGTCCCCGGCAGGGCGTCCGATCCCGACCCTGAGCCGGACCATGCTCTGGAGAGGGGCGAGAAGGAAGGGAAGAGGAGCTCAGACTTGCACCTGTCCTCTGCCCCACACCATGCGCCCCCGAGGCCTGGGGCTGCGTTGCACGTTGGGGGCCAGCAGCTCAGTGCCAAGGAATCGTAGAAGAGCAGAGTTGGAAGGGGCCATGAAGGCCATCTAGTCCAGCCCCTGCTGTTGCAGGACACCAGTTTACACCAGCCCACTCAGAGGGCTGTCCAGTTTCTCCTTGAATGTCTCCGGTGTGGGAGAGCCCCCTCCTCAGGCAGCCGGTCCCACTGCTGCATTGCTCTGACCGTGAGGAAGCTTCTCCTGATGTCCAGCCTGAATCTGGGTTGTCGCAACTTGAATTGATTCAGGGCACCGACTGGAACCCAGAGCCTAAACCATGGCTGTGCACCAGGAGTTAGAGGAAGAGACCCTGTTTGGTTATTATTTCATCTACTCTGGGGCGGGCTATTTGACTGCATAGCCTGGACCGTGGCCTGGAGGAGGCAGGGCGGCCTATTCCACTAGCTCTGCGGCTGGAGGGCGATGGCAGGCCGCCTCTACATGAGTCTGGAAAAGCTCAGATCCAGCCATCTGCAGCCGTGCTTTGAAGCCGGCCTGCTGGGCTCGCGGCCAGCCCATCTGCTTCCACTTACGTCGTCTCCTCCCCGCCCGGGCCGAAGCAAGAAACAAGGCCGAGGGCGCGAGGCCCTTGCTCAGCATAAGCCGAGCTCCAGGCGGGCGCGATCGCTCGCTCGGACACGGTGTTCCATGCTTGGGTGGCAGCCAGCGGTTCATGTCATGGCTGTAAACATTCGGAGACAATTCCCCTTGGCGGGGGGGTCGGGGCTCTCGCAGGGACTCACGTCAGAGTGTAGAGAGTTGATGCAGGAACGGACTCCATTGTGGCCTCTGAAAGGGAAGCGAGAAAGCAGCCAGGTCAGCCGGACCCACAAAGAAATATGAGGCCTCGCAGGAGCCAAGAAGTGCCTGCTCCAGCCTTCCCCAGCCCGGTGCCCTTGGGGACGTTGTGGAGCCGGGGCCCGGCACAGGAGGACCCCAGCACCCCTGTATCAGCAGGACCGCGGATGTCGCCCGCCACCCCTGCAGGATTCCCCGTCGCCTCAGTCTCGGGGAAGAAGGTGAATTTTCCCAGCAAGCCACATCTTCTTGCCCTCGCGATAGAAAGCTTTTTGGGGCGTGGTGGTCCTTAGTAAGCAGAGGACACATGGGCTTTCCAAAAGACCCCCTGCAGGGGGAAGCTCCACGGGGTTTGTGGCTCTGAGGGCTTCCACGGACGAGCCCCCGCAGGTCAAAATTCACCCCTGCATCTTTGACGGCTGCATGCCAGAAAATCTAACCGATGGGCGACATGAATAGCACGGTTCATGTTTCCTCTGCTTCGCAGTGCACCTTCCCCGTTCGGAAAGCAACGAGGCACCCCACCAACACCTCACGAAAACCAGCCCCTCTCTCCACCTTTGGATCAGTCCTCCAAAGGCACAGAACTCTGTGTGTTTAGACAGAATGCTCAGAGTTCTGGGAAATATTCCCGTCCCAACAGGCCCGATGCTGCACCTGAGGTGTGCTAAAGCACGCTGCAATCCCTACAAGATGGTGTACCTGGCACTCCCTCCAAGCTTCAGGGCGACCTTCCCCAGGGGCTTGTCCAGGTCGTCATGAACCAGGTAGATATTCTCAATGTCCAGACCATAGGCTTCCACTTGAAACAGAGAAGGTGGTCGAGGGTGTAAAAGTCTGGGGCCGTGCCCCACGGGAAAGGGGCAGGATGCCACGTGGAAGTGCCGGGCACGATGGGACGCAGTTTGGTTGCGATGAGGGCACACCCTGCCCCATAAGGAGGGTGCGAAGGAGGTCAGGATAAGGGCACCTTCCACCCACTCATCCATCCTTCTTTCCAAGCCCTCCTCAACTAGTGCCTTTGTCCACGAAGCAACCGCACCCTCCCGCCCATGTGCCCCAGCAACTGGCATCATTTAGGCACACTTGTGCCAGATCCAGGAGGAAACAGATGATTATGATGGGATGGAGCCAGGACTTCCTTCCATGGAAAGGTGCGGTTGCATGGCGCTCCGCAGCAAATGGGCAGCTCGCCCTCTGCTGGGCAGCACGGGAACTGCACCCCGTGCCCCGCAGGAGGCATTCCCACTGTTTAGGGGTGCGCAAACTGCAGAAGTGATGGGAAAGCGTGCAATGGATGGCGGTTGGAGGAGAGGGGGCAGTGCCAGCTCCGCGGCATGGGCCAGCACGCCTCCAGGGCAGGGAACGCCTGGTGGGCCGTTCGAGACGCTTCCCTGCCCGCTGCAGGTGCAAGGGGAAGCCCGGGCAGCGGGTCGCGAGGAGGAAGGGGGCCCCTCACCGGCGCCGAGCACGGACAGCCCGTTGATGTTCATCAGCCGGCGCGGCTTCATCAGCACCAGCTCCGTCTCGCCCAGCGTGGCAAGGGCCACGTCCGCGCAGCAGCGCCTGTCCTTCCTCCACTGGTCGGCCACGCTCAGCTTGCTGGCCAGGTGGTTCAGGATGGCCATCCCCACGCTGTGGCGCGTGCCGCGCAGGCCGTAGTTTCCCAGCCCCGCCACCTGCGAAGCGAGAACCGGCGGGGCGGTCGGGGGCAGGGAATGCCTTCGCCCGGCGCACCTGGGCAGGTGGCACAGCGGTGACCCGCTGCACACGGGCCGGGGCGGCTCGCCAGTGTTTCAGGCTCCGGTGCCCAGAAGCCCCTCTGGGGCGGCCAGTGAGGGGAGCTGGAGTGCAGAACACCCGCAGATCCGCTTTCTGCCCACCCGAGCAGCGGGACGTCCTGCCCTTGCCCGCCTCCCTCCAGACATTTTAGCCGAACCCCCCTCCCCATCGCGTAGGCTGGCTGAGGCTGATGGGTCTTGCAAGCCAAATCATCTGCTGGGTCGCAAGAATCCTTGCCCTAGGTAGCAAGAAACCCCCGACCCCAAGGGTCCCCGGCTGCTCTTTCCAAATCCATCCCTGCCACTGTCAGTCCTCCTTGCATTCACGCGCATCGCTAGCCCCGCATATGGAGGATTATACGCCTCTGAGAACCGGAAGTCGCGGTCGAACGAGCCGGCAGCGGGTGCCCTTCCTGCGGCTGCGTCCGCCCGGTGGTGACCCGGAAGCACTAGAGGAACCCTCCACGGGGCGCCTTCGCCTTACCAGCACCCGTTTCTTAGCGGCCCGCAGTTCTTCTTTGTGCTGACCCAGAACTCTCCTCAGGAGCCGCCCGAAGTGCTGCGAAGGCAGCATCTTCCTCCCGCGCGGCCCGGTCGCTTCGCGAGAGGCCTCCGATGTTCCGTTTCCGGCCGCAGCCTCGCGAGGAAGGGAAAGCCGCCAGGCGGTCAGTGTGACGTCGGCGCCCCCAGCGGCCTATCGCGCGTCCCGGCAAGAGCGATGCGGGACCGCCGGGAGGGCGAGGAGCTGGGCGCCATGTTTGTTGTGGGCGGAAGTGCGCGCCGGGCGAGTCTTTTTAAGGAGCGCCTTTTTTAAAAAGCGGCGAGGCAGGGAAGAGAAGTCCCTTGTCGAGTCGCCCTTTTCCCGCAGCCCGGCGCCGTCGGGAGGGCCCCGGGCTGCCAGGGGGCTTCTCGCCCGTGAGGTGCCGTGAAGCGGGCAGCGCCGACCACGTGACCGCCCCCGGGGCTCGCTGGCGCCTCTAGCGGCGAGCGGCGGCGCCTCCTCCGGGCTGCGCGGTTTCCCCGTGCGCATAGCGACCGCGGGACGTGATGGAGGAGGACGAGGCGGCGGCGGCGGCGGACGAGGGGCAGGACGGGCGGCGTGGGCAGGTGAGGCGGGAGGCGGCAGGGCCGAGCCCGGGGCAGGGCCGAGCCCGGGGCAGGGCCGTGCGGGTGACACCTGCTCTTCCCCGCCAGGTGGTGAAGCTGGCGAAGGTCTCGCTGGGCTTCTTCCCAACGGCCGTCGCCGAGGAGACGCTGGAGGAAGCGCGGCAGAAATCCCTGCGCTACGTTTTCGGGAGTGCGGGGACCCTGCGGCATCTCAAGGACCCCGAGAAGGTGGGGACGTTCGCAGGCATCCTGGAAGCCAGGGTCGCCCAGCAGTGAGTGTCCCAGCCCCCCCCCCCGCGCAGCTGCACCGACCGCCCCCCTTTCCTCCCGGCGAGGAGCTCGAGGCGGCTCCCGGGGCGCCGTTCACCTTAACAACAGCCCCGTGAGGTGGGACGGGCTGAGGGTGGGTGGATGACTGGCCCGAGGTCACCCGGCGCGCTTCTTGGCCAGGCCGGACTCCCCCCGCCCCGGCCCACCCACTCAGTGTCAGGACGGTTTGCCGTGATGTCTGAACTGACCGACCCTGGCCAGCAAACAGAAAGCATGCACAACCCATGCATGCTGGGACTTATGGGAACTGTAGTCCAAGTCATCCAACTGCCTACCCCGATAGGCTGGCAAAAATTCTAAAGTCACTGAACCTGCAGGCTTTTTCCCATGCTCCGTCAGATTTTTCTCTCCCCGAAGGGGAGGAGCAGCTTCTGAGCAGTGGTTTGTTTTGTCCCACAGCTGCCGGGAAGGCCACAAGTACTTTTCGCAGGGGGAGTGGGAGAAAGCCATCACCTGCTTTACCAAAGCCCTGAACTTGGACCCTGACAAGGTAAGCCAGGGGGAACAGAACTGAGTAGACCTGGAGAATGGTCTGCAGGGACATGAGGAAGCTCCGCAGGGCTGGGACTGGGCTGAGTGTGGAGGGGAGACCCCTGGAAAGCACATGAAGCCACCTTTTGTCCTGCAACGGGAGATCATCCATAGGGGCACGCGAAGCCACCCACCCATCTGCAAGCCAACACCCAGGTGCCACGGGTTAAGGGCATTTGACATGTAATTGCAGAGTGCTGTTGGCAGCGGGGCAGGATTCTGATTTCACGAAGTGGGTATCCCCCACGGGATATCGAGCCAGCGTGACATGACATTTTCTGCATGTGACTAAGGAGCTTCCTTAGGGCGGCATGTCCCTTAGTTTATTAAAAATAACTCATGAAGGGCCCCTGATCTGGAGCAGGCCTGCTCTACCCCTTCGTTCCACCCTGCATTGTTGCCTCGCTGGAAACGTCTCTCCACGCCGGATTTTTGGAAGCAAAGCGACCTCTGAGTGTGTAAGGATTGTGGCGGTGCATCAGATTTGATCTTCAGAGGCTGCCTGGCCCGGAGGCGCTTTGCAGAGTAGTAGCCAGGAGAGGCAGCTGGCTGGGCCGATGCCAAGGCCCACATGCCAGCAGTGGGGCCACCCATGCTTGGCTGCTTCTGCCTTCTCAGTTGTCCGCTCTGTGTGGGGGTGAGAGAGAAGCAGGGCAGCATCTCCCCCTTGCTTGGCACTCCGCTGGGCGAGTGATAGGGCATTCAATGACGGGACCGGCGGCCTGCGCTGCACCCGAGAGCCCCTCAAACCTGGGGTCACGTCTTTGCGCAGGGCAGGTATCCCTCTAGCTAGGAAAAGAGAGATGCTCCCCGATGCCTTCCTGCTTTTTCCTACCTTGTTTGGAGGGCGTGCAAAAGAGGAGGAGCCCTTCGGCCGAGGCACAGGCTTTTCCGAGGGCCTCCCTGGACTGTGTTCTGCAGGTGGAGCTGTACGAGCGGAAGGCGGAAGCTCTGCTCCAGCTCTGCGACTTCCAGTCGGCTGCGATGCACCTCCGGAAGGCCTACTTCATGTCTTCGAGGAAGGAGAGCATCGGGGCCCAGCTTGCCTTCATTTTTCACCTGCAGGTGAGCCGCTCAGCCAGTCACTCTTGGCCTCGCTGGATGCACATCTCCTTACCCACAAAACCAGTCTGACTGTAAGCCTGGGGGATTCTGGGGAGTGTAGTTCCCAGCTTGTCCGTGGATAGGGAAACCGCATTTGGGGCTTGTAATTAGTTAAGAAAAATGACATTCAGAAGGAAACAAAATCCCGGAGAATAGGCTAACGATGGCTACTGCTCCTGGTGTCAGGGGCTGTATGTCCACGTACACCCTGTGCTGGGGATGATGGATGGGAGAGTGCTTTGCTTTCCTGCTTCCTGAATGCAGGCCTTTGATCTGATGCCGTATGAATCTTCTCATATTCTCATGTGGCCTTTCAGCATTTGCTTGTGCTACAACCTGCTGCTGGTTTTAAGAGGCTTTTTGCTTATTGTAAACAGTTTTGTTTCCTGACTTGTCCTCCAAGGAGCAAGGGCAGGCAGGCACAGTTCACCCTGCCTCATTTTTATCCTCACAACAGCCCTGTAGGGGGGACTAGGCCCAGAGAAAGTGACTGGTCCAAAGTAACCCAGCAAACTTCATTGCTGGTTAGGGGTTTGGGCCTGTGCTTCTCTCGGTCCTAATCTGACCCTCTTAGGGCCGTCTTCGGTACACTTAGACCAAAAAATGGCCCCCAACTCCCAGTGCGACCCAGCTACACCTCACTGGGATAATTCGTTTTTCTGTTGTATTTTGCTCTACTGTAAGGTCCCTCGAGCAGCTGATAGGTGGAAAGATGGATTCTAAGTGAATAAGGGGGTCAATAAGAAGCAAGAAAAAGGGGGTATTGGGCCCATCGGGGGTTTATTTGCTTCTCCCTCCATGCTCTTTCCTGAAGTTCCATTCATCTCTTTGCCCCGTAGTTGAAACCACATGGCACGTACAGAAATCAAAACTTTAAAAGCACATTCTAAAAACACATGCATACTGATACATAAAAACTACCCACAGAGATGCAAATATTTACGTTGTCGTAAAGGAGGGCATATACATGTCTTAGATAGATAGATAGATAAATATTTGTAAAACAAGCTTTAACAGCAAGAAAGCATTGAGACTGTGAAGCGCCCAGAAGAAGAGCGAGTCCTAACCGGGTACCTGAAAGATGACAGCGCTGGTGCCAGGTGGGTCTCCCTGGGGAGTTTGTTCCAGAGTTGGGGGACCACCACTCAGAAGACTTTCTCCCTCGGAGCAGGGATCGGGAGGCGGGCCTGAGGCAATGTGCTTGAATTTGCAGGGCCAGTGTCTGTACGAGCAGCACCTCTTTCTGGATGCCCTGGGATCCTTCATGCGCGCCTCGGAATTGCAACCTCAGAATGCCCTCTATCGCATGAGAAGGTAACGCTTCCTAAATAAATAAATGTAGATGGAATGTCTTTTTTTTTTTTTTAAATAATCCAAGCCCACTGACACTTGCTGGTCCGGGTGTGTTGCTCTGCTTTCTCCTTTTCTAGCATCGCGTGTCTCGCCTCCATGAATAGATACAACGATTGTCTTCAGATGGTCAATGAGGAGGTGGCCCGTGAGGAGAAGAACGCCGATCTCTTTGTCCTGAGGGCTCGACTCTATGAATATTTTGGGAAGGTAAAGATCCGGCTAGTTCCTTTTGTATCCGCAAAAGACCAGACTTCGATCCCCCTCCACAGCTTTTGTGTTTGCGTGGAGGTCCTCATTGCCTTTGGGCAGGCTTGCATGGCCTGGCCTCCCATCCTGGCACTGAGCCAGGGCAGGTTGGTGTTCTGGTCAGGGTTGCTGTTGGTCGTTCGCCCACTTGCCCGGGGAACCGAGGGTGCACTGTGGCAGGACTGACCTGTCCTCTCTCTCTCCTCACTGCAATCGTCGTTAGTCGCAAAGCCGTGCCCGACCCATCGCAAGCCCATGGACAACCTTCCTCCAGGCCCTCCTGTCCTCCACCTTCCCCCGGAGTCCACCCAAGCTCACACCCACTGCTTCAGTGACTCCGTCCAGCCCCCTCATCCTCTGCCGTCCCTTCTTCTTTTGCCTTCAATCGTTCCCAGCATCAGGGTCTTCTCCAGGGAGTCCCTCCTTCTCATTAGGTGGCCAAAGTATTTGAACTTCATCTTCGGTATCTGGCCTTCTAAAGAGCAGTCGGGGTTGATCTCCTCTAACAAGGGACTCGCAGGAGTCTCCTCCAGCACCACAATTCCAAGGCCTCGAGCCTTCGGTGCTCAGCCTTCCTTACGGTCCAGCTTTCACAGCCATTGTTTTTAACTTCTGTATCCCCTCACACTTTGCCTTTTTTGCTTTCCTGAGCTTAGGAAGGCTCACATGGACAGCAACACCTGCTCTGCACCACCTTTGAGGAGCTGCCAGGGATTGTATTTTTGCACAGCTCAGTCAGGGGTCTGAAAATAAACAGTGTTGGTTTGGTGAAAACAAGCAACAGACGCAACGTGTTGGCATCCGTTGCATCCAAAGAGAGTTCTTGCTTCACTCTCTCTAAGTACTGGTTCTTGCATTGTCTTCCCACAAGACTAACCTCACCTATTTCAACCTCCAAAACGCCCTTGAGTTGGATCCGGCGCATGGAGAAGCTCAAGTCCTGCTGGCTCATTTGAGGACGGAGGGTCAGAAGTTCAGGGACCAAGCCGTGAACAAGGCCGTGAAGGGGAACTTGAAGGCAGCGTTCCTGAAAATCAGCCGTGCCATCTGCTGCAACCCCGTGGATGCAAGCTATTTCTTGTTCAGGTACACACGACGCCGGCACACACGCCGCCGCTGAAGACCGCCGTTTTCTCTGGCACGTGCTGCCTGTGCTCGCCTTGGATTTTGGGGTGGAGATGGCCTGGGGCATCGCTGGTAGTCATAAAAGGGATCGGCCTTTCCAGGCATCCCCTCTCCTAGGTCAGCCTCCTGGGCCAGGAAGCAGCCAAAGTTCAGTGGGAATTGACTGCCTGCTGGAATCAAGGGTGGTGCTCCCAGTGCGAAAAGAACCTGGTCCTGAAGAAGGGACAAGGGACTGAGGACGCTGGAGGCCCCCGTGCCTGTCGGGGGAGGCACTGTCCGACAGCCCTCTGCAGCCTGCGACTCCCTTCTTCCCCTGCCGGCAGGGACGGTGCTGGTTAGGGATGCTGGGAATTGTCGTTCGGGGCATTCGGCGAGGGCCAGATTGGGGAGGGCTGGCTTGGAACACAAGAAGGGCCCTGGCTGAGCAGACCCAGGCTTGGTTTGGGAGAGGTCTGCCAGCATTCCAGGGCCGGGATCAGCCATCTGTACTGAAAGGAACACGCCTGAGCAGAACGATGCCCATGTGCCACCTCCTTCCAAGGCAAGCCGGAGACTAATGGCTGGGAGGCCCCGGGGCAGGACAGTCGGGGCTCCTCATAGGATGCGGGGCAGGGGCAGGCTGAGCCCCCGTCCACGTCTGCCGTCCGTGAACGGGGAGCTTATTTTGGAGGACAGAAGGTTCGGCGTTGCCAAGCTGTGCGTCATCCCCGCCCTGCCACACAGACGACAGAGCCTGACCTGGGCGAAGGCCGCTGCCTGCGTGCCTCTGCAGTCAGAGCTAAGAGGCCCAGCCCAAAGCGGTTCAGAACCATGAGGACCAGTCTCTTTCCTCGCTTTTGCACGAAGGGCAGCGGCTCACCACAGAGAACATCTCAGCTCGTCCTCTCGTGTTCCTCGCCCTGTTCCCCTTGCTTGTCCCACCTTTGGCAGAGGGAACATGCTGAGGAGGCTGAAGGACTTCAGCACGGCCATCGACGACTACCTGAAAGCCGCGCACCTCTGCAGCGGGGGGGAGGAGGGCCACGCGGTGCGGGCCGAGGCCCAGAAGCAGCTCCTGCTCACGTACAATGACTTTGCGGTGCACTGTTACGGCAACGGCTGCTACGAAGAGGCCGTGCTGCTGCTCAACAAAGCCCTCAAGGCGGAGAAAGGCGAGAAGGGACTGTACAGCAACAGAGGAGGTAACGCGCGTCCGTGGCAGGACATCTCCCGTCTTGCGTGCGTGTGGGGAAGGAAACGGACACGCGGCGTGGCACGTGGCGTGTGGCGTTCCGCCTTCCAGAGCGTAGCGGCTCGAATTCTGAGGAAGCAAGTGGGCGATCCTTATGTGCCGGCAAGGCGGATCACGGTGAGGGCGAAGTGGGAACAGGCGGGATTGAAAGGTCCCCGTCCGTATATAAAGGCAGTCCTTCGGGTAATTTGGCCCCAAGCCATTTAAGGCTGTGAGGGAGTAACATCACGGCAGTGTTCGAAGGAGCAGAGCTAATTCAGCTAATCAAATAATTCGGATTATAGTTCATAGTTAATCAGACAGTACAGAGTATTTGATTCAGAGGCGCTCTGATCCCAGAGCTGGGAGCTGGCACTCTGGACCACTCTACTCTGCAGCAGAGAAGTGCCCGAGGTCAAGAAAAGGGCCTCGGGGACGGGAAGGCGGGGCAGATGGGGAAGGCAGGAGATGGCAGAGGCCCAGGTGGGGGGGTTTCCTCCCACAGCTGCTCCAGCCTCCTTTCCTCCCCCACCCTGCCCCCGAGACCCTTCAGTTAAATGCGAGGCAGAGTGTGTCTGGGGGGAAAACGGGGAGGGGAGGGGAGGAGAGGGGAAGGAGAGAGCACCTCGGCCCCCAAGCCGGATGGCATCCCTCTGGGTACCACAGCCAGCGGCCAAGTCAAACCAGGCCCTTGCACGTGGGCTGGTGAGACGCCTGGCTAACACCCCGTCCCCCCGTGTGATGAGGACGTCCCGAGAGCTGGTGCATTTGCAGGTGGTGGTTCGGTATTTCGTGAAGCGGGCCTCAGACAGTTCGATTTGCGAGCTGGGCAGGGCAGAGGGCGCCGTGCGTGTCCGTTGCGGGATGCGAACAAGCCCAGGGTGCCCACGGCCTGAGCGATCCCCGCTGCTTTCCGTCAGACTGCTTCCTTAAACTGGGCGAGCTGAACTTCGCGATGGCGGATTACCAGCAGGCCTTGGAGCTGAGGCCCCGCGACCCCCAGCTGCAGAAGCGAGTCGCGCGGCTGTACAACGAGATGGGGCTGCAGGAATTCCGGGAGAGGTATGCCGGGGCTCCCCCCTCCGGGGGTTCAAGGCTTCCTGGGGGCAGGAAGAAATGAGACTGCCCTTTGTAGTCAGCTGCAAGGGGTCTTCAGAAAGTTTCCGCACGTTTATGTTTTATAAATATATTTTACATATTTTTTGCCGACGGCATTAAAAAGTCAGTACGACACTGGGAAAAATGCATCGCGAAGGAAGGTGACCGTGCAGAATTTGGTTTTGAAATTCTTAAGAAACAGTTTTTAAAAGTGTGGGATCTTTTTGAAGACCCCTCGTATCGCCATTCAGCCGTGGCCGACAGATTCTGAGGGAAGCGTTCTTAGCTCACACACACAACCCGAATCAAGACGATCCAGTCTTCACACTGCGCTTTCTCTCCACGTCGAAAGCCCTTTCTCTAACGCTGACGCCCTCCTTGCAGTTCATTATTTATTTTTGTTCTGCCCTGCCACTTCCAAGCCTCCTCTTCCCTTGCAGGAGATACCCACAGGCCGAGTCGTATTTCTCCCAAGCAGTGGAGAACAACCCCCGTGAGATTCAGTACTACCTGCACCGAGCCAAGAGCCGCATGTTCATGCAGGAGGAGCTGGGGGCCAAGGAAGACTTGATCACCGCCCTGCTGCTCGACCCCACAAGGCTGGATGTATGGGTCTGATGCTGCCCCCTTTGCACATTAATGCTCATTTTCCCACGCCCGTGCTCTAGGCTCTTGTAGCGGTAACGATTCGGTGCCGGCAGTGCATGCCCCAGGGAAGTCTGGGGAGAGAGAGAGAGAGAGAGAAAAAATGAACGCACATCAGTTTGCATCATGGATTATAGTTCGACACTTCAGAATAGGAACAGGATGTGTGTTGGAGTGGGTTTTGAAGGTTCTGCCTTAGGATCCTGACCTGTTTGGGTGGGATAACCCAGGATCCTCCATCTGAGAAAGCTCCCCCTTTCCTGGGTTGCTTAGCAGCTAGCACAAAGGGAAGAGCAAAAGCGGCGAGACAGGGCTGTGCGTGAATGGTCCGCATTCTGATTCGATAAGCCTGACTTGGTGGCTTAAAATCCCATGGAAAGTGATTTATTTATTCTATTTATTAAAAGCTTTTATAGATCATCCCATTACTAATGTCTCGGGACGGTTTACAGCAGCATCTCTCGGCCTCACTTGGGAGCTAGTAGCGGGACGGTCTATAAAAGCTTTTAATCACAAAGAAATAAATGATCCTTCTGAGGTTGGCACGAGAATGACTGAAGCCATGTATGTGAAATGCTTTAAGCACGAAAAGCATGGGGTAAACCCTTCCCTGACCTGGAACCTTCCGGGTATCTTGGGCTACTGAGAATCGCCCAGGCCAACCCTGTCACTGATCCGTAAGGATGCTTCGCGTCTCAGTGGTGCTGACCTCTTGCCCTCCCCACCCCACAGAATGGCCCCAGAAGCCATTGTACAATCCTGGAGATGCAGCTTTCATGGTTCTGCGAATGTAGGAGACAGATTTAAAGGTGGATTCACAGTGACCGTGTTTCCCAGCCTAAATGCAGTCCAGTTGTCCTGGGATTACTGTATGAATTCTAGCTAAGTCTTAAGCCCCTGTTGAACGTTCTTCTCTGGATAAAAATGGTAATCGATATGTTGACCCTCTCGTGTTTCCTGTGAACCACATTCTTCATGTGACATGCCTTGATAGCTGAAAAGGTGGTCCTATTTTCTATAAAGTCGTGGATTGTATCGAAAACATGCGAGTTAAGACTCGGTGAAAATTATACCAGATGTCATAATGCCCAACGATTCCTTGCCTTTAGTTTTCTTTGTCTGTTGCAGGTCCACAGTCTGGCTGAAAAACTTTTTCCAGGAGAGCCTGTTCAGACTCTCCTCAACAGTAAAGTCGGAGAACTGGCCAAAGCGCTTCTGGGACGGAGGCTGGCATCCTGTCCGGCGTGTGAGGCGTTGGCGCAGCGGTTCAGGTACTGCTTCCTGGTTATCCGTCTTGGGACAGTGGAGGATTTCCTTCTAGTCGAAAGAGCCGATCCGTGGAAGATCTTTTGTTAGGACCATTCCATCTGGAAGACACCAGCCGAAGGAAGCTTATGTGTTTTTTAAAAGCTGTCCTTTTGGTGAATTTCCCTCTTGGTAAATCAAAGCCACACACCTCAGAGCAACAGGGCTACTGGCTGTGGGGCTTGAGGAGCAATATTTAGGAAAAGAATTGGCATGTGCCAAAGACAGCCCGTTCCTAGCTGTGTTAAGGTCGTGGGCTGTGAGCATTTTAGTTGCGGTGGTCTGTCTCAACACGGATAGTCTTGAAATCTAGGCTGCTTGCTTCATGGTTTTATTTATTTAAATATACGCCCTGCCTTTTTCTCCAAAAAAAAAAAAAAATGCTCCTTATTCCAAAAGGAAAAACGGAGTTTTTCCCTGGATGGATGGCAAAATGAAGTGAATAAGCTGCCAGACAGGAAGGTCTGGGTTTGAATTTGCTGAACCCATTAGATGGCATTCAAGAAGCTGCCATCTGCCAGCTTCTGCCATGCGTGGCAAAGGAATAGTCCGCGTTGTAATGGCGAAGAGCTTTGAAGAACCGGAGGAGGACTGAACCGGTGCCGTCGCTGTCTCCAGAAGGGCTTTAGACAAGGGGAAGTAGGAGAGGAAGCGGAATACCAGGATAGGTCTGTGGAGAATTCCATGGGGTCAGACTGTCGGAAGCGGCATGGCTTGTGTTGCTCTGCCGTCTTTAAACCTCCGAGCACGGCTTACTTCCGGCTTTGTGTTGGGATAGTTCCGTGGAGTGTGGTACTTTGCACCTCTTGCTTTGCCCCGCTTGCATCTGGTGCTCTGCCTTTTCCACCCTCCCACCCAGGAGTCAGACCCTGGTGTCCCAAGAAACCGAGCCAGCCAGCAACACGTTCATTGAAAACGACGACTGGGAGAAGCCTGCTGAGAAGGCAGAGGTAAAGCCGCAGGCTTCTGAAGAGAAGCAGCTGCAGGAGAGGCTAGCCGCCTGTCGGAAGAAGTCTCATGCAGTAAGTCCTTCCCTTGAGAAAAGCACCTTGCAAACTGGGATGTTCCGGGGTCAGGATGAGGCCCCCTTTGGAGGCCGTCGTCACTGGTTCACGCACTTCACTTGGTTCATGGCTGCGAGTGCGGACTTTACTCGCTTGGCAGTCTGGATTCGGGCAAAACGGAAGGACTTGCCGAGTGCCCTACAGAGCTGCTGCGGGATCACGCGGCCCGGAAGTCCCGGCCGGGTCCAGGATTTTGTGCTCACACCCGGGCTGGAAGAAGCAGGATATGCCAACTTCGGATTCCTAGCTGCTGGCCTTCCTGAATGTTCTGCGTACCAGGCAGTGATGCTACTGACCAATCCTGGGGGCCCCGACTCTGCCAGCCTCTGGGGTTTTCCAACCATGCTGGCTGTGGATAATGGGAGTTGCGACTCAGTCTGTTGGGAGGACAACAGCTTGTGGAAACAGTCTTTAAACAATCCAGGTGAGGTAACTGACCCAAGGTGGGATCCAGGATCTGCCTTTTGCAAGGCATGCTGTTTGTAGATCTCTGGCTGTCTTTGAGCATCTCTTGACTCTCCATGTAGCATTTTCAGGGGAGTGGAGGGCTTGCGTCGGGAGACGGGAAGAGTATTTTTCTAAGTGCAGCTGATGCAGCCCATACCCTCTGTCCTCCTAAGCTGGCATTTCATAAGATGCTCTTGTGTATCTGGCAGACGGACAGTGAACTAAAAGACGCACGAGAGAAGGGAATGTCTCTGGCTTCTCGTATGGTCCATCTGGCCTCAAACCCACACCTGCCTGAAAAGGAGCCCTTGGAAGAACCTCACCAGTGGAGGAATTTCAGTCAAGGCATCGCTCACTTTTAGTCACCGAGCAACCCTGTGTTTGGATGCAAAGGCTGCATTAAAGAAAAAGGGAAAAAAACGACATTTTGGGCCTCTGTAACTGAGGACGTCCATCCCTCCAGGCTGGTACACTTGTTGTCGAAGGCATCCTGTCCCAAAGGTTTATAAAACTGCCACTTATTTCAAACTGTATGTTGCAAACTGCCAATTTAGTAGAACATTGCTTCCTTTTTGGTTTGCTTGGTAGACATTCGGGAAGCCTGCCTTTTTTTTTTTTTTTTTGGTGCTTTCTGTGCAGAGATGGATGTGCACTGAACTGGCTGGAAGACCAAGTACATTCTACAGCTGGCAGTTCTGGCAAGCACCGCATCTTTCTCAGCCCCCCTCAGAAGTCCCCCTTTAGTACCACAAGGAAGATCTTTCCCAGGAAGAACCCCGTGTAACTGCCAAGGTCCACGTGGCCTGTCGTGAAGAAATCGGCAGCAAATTAACACAGATTACCTAGCCTTCCAGATACGTTGGGCTGCAACGGTCCAGCATGTTCGGAGGACGCCAGGTCAGAGAAGGCCAAAATGGTGTGTGTTCCTGTCATGAAATTGTGCTATTTGGGCAAACTAGGAAAGCAGCTGCCTCCTTTTGTGGTCCTTTTGTGTGTCCGCTTCTACTGTATTGTGCAGTCTGCACGAACCCCTACGAACTGATTCTTCTCTTGGCATGTGAGGTCCTGTTTGCCCAACTGGGATGAATTCTAACTGCCTTCACCCCCTGCAGCTGCTATGCTGTACTGACGCTGCAGTTAAGCGTTAACCAAGGTCCTTTTGAGGAGCTGCAGCCCTAAACTGGGCAGTATTGAAGGCCTTGCTTCCCTCAAGATGCAGACGCTCACCTGTGGCTTTACCTCTGGACGATTAACACATTTTCAAAAGACTCTTACAAGGAGCCTAAATGAGACACTCGGATCACCTGGGGCTGCCCATTCTGACTCGGTTCTAAACTTGCCCCCTGCTGCAGTTTCCACAGGCCCCCGAGTCTCCGTGAGACACACGTTTTCACGTTTTTATTTAAAATAAAACAAGCTTTTGAGGACTTGAGAGTATGCTCTCATTCTTAGGAGATTTTTAACTGGATTGATCACTAAGACTTTAGAAACAGGGAAGAAAGGCACACGGCAAGCTGCTGATCATGTTTTTCCCTGGTGACTGTGCCTCTCTAGTGGAAATACAACTAGGTACGCGATTCTGTCCCTTTCCCTCAATAATTCAGTACCCCAAGTGAAAGCTGAGGCCTTTGCCCTCACAGAGGAAGGTCCAGAAATTTAGGGAGTAACCTTCCAAACTCAGAAGATTATGGGTGTCCAATTGTTTGTGGAAGTTCTCTTGTGGGACAAAGGAGAAATGTGTATTCCACTCCCAACCCAAACCCTAATCAAACTGGCGTCAGTGGACTCTGAACATAATCAGGTTAGCATTTGCACTGCGTGGTTCAAACTGTCTATTTAAAGAGGCCCAAGGTAGGATTCCAGCTTCCAACACCCTGATACAACATGGCAGCGTGCTTTTAAAATGCTATTTAAGAAACAAGAGGCAAGAGTTTAGAGTCCCAAGGACATTAATTCAATTGTGCTATATTAAGGAATCAAAATGTGGTAGCGGGGGGAAAAAAGTCTATAAAACCACTTTATGAAAGAGACAAGATTTCCGTCCCCAAGCACAGCACGGCTTCCTCTCCTTTGAACTGAGCACATGGCTTAGGACAAATTATAAACTTGGATCAAGGGCTGGCTCAGTTTCAGGTCGGCGTTCCTCCTTGGGCCCGCACCTCAGAAAATCTCCTCTTTGGTTCTAAGCCAAATCCGGGCGAGCAGAGAGACCGTCTTTGCACCCGACGTTCAAAATCCGCCAGCTGCCCGACGCCAGCAGATTGAGTGAAGTGGAGTCTCCGCAGAGGAGCGGCCAGGCTCCTAGCAGCAATGCTGTCGGGTCGTCAGAGGAAAAAGGGGACACGGGAGGCCACCGTTTTGCAGCCGGTCAACGAGAACACTTTCTCCTCTTCCGGGAAGTAGGGAATGCTCTCGGCAACCGCCTGGACGACCTCTGGCTGAGGCTGCAGGCCTCGGCTGGCGAGCTCATTCCTCACACACTGTTTCACGTGGTGCTGCTTCAGGGGGAGGAAGGGCACCAGGTAGTCGATCAGCTGTTGCTCAATGATACCAGACTTCCAGAACCCGCCTGCAGGAGGGAAAGAAATGGTGGAGGTTTCCGTGGAGCAGGTGGGGAAAGATCTGCACCTTGGGGGCAAACAGGAACTGGCAGGAGGCAGGCGTGAGAAGGGAGCCACTGCAGTCCTTCCTTCTGGAGAAGAAGCGTTACCACACCGAACTCTTTCGCCTGTCGCGTGGCTTCTTCCCCATCCCTGGAAGAGCCAGCCAGCTGCTGCTGCTGCTGCTGTCAGAGCGCTGGCGCAGGAGGGGGAGAATTGTCTGCCCTGAACCCTGAAGCTCGCTGGAACACCTCAGGCCAGTCACTGGCCCTACCTCACAGGGTGGTTGTGAGAATGACATGGAGATGTGGGTGGTGTAAATGGCCTTGGGATCTTTGTGGGGAAAAGCCAGGAGACGGATAGAAGATAAAGTAATTAAACAGAAGCATGGCTTTATGGCTCCACTTCGTGCCTAAGGGTAATAAAACTGATGCTCACTTTGCTGCAGGCGTGTTCGCCTCCCCCGAGGCCACTGATGGGAAGCAGAGATGATTCCCGGACGGTGCCCTGAGCCAGGAATGGAGCTTAATGCACAGGCAATCTCTGTGGGCACTTTCCCTTTTGGAACCACCCCCAAAGCAGGGCTGGCTCACCCATGCAGCTTGTAGGGATGGTGGCTTTTTCAGGGGGAAAGAGTAGAGGCAGGGAAACATTTGGGATGCCTTCTCGCTCTCCCAACGGTACTCACTCTGGGGATTCTCAAAGACAGCTTCCAAAATAGACGCTTCCAGATCCTTAAAGCTGATCTCCTCTCGGTCTTTGCGGGCTCGCCAGAGGTTGAGGGTCATTTGGTTAATCTGCTCCCCACCAGCATTACTGCAAGACAGGAAGCGAAAGATGTGATCTGCTGGGATGTACCTCCGTGCTGCATACAGAGCAGCAACCGTCAGCACTGAAAACAAAGCTAGGCTGTCGGCCTGTCCCCACCACCCTGGACGCAAGTTCCACCAAAATCTCCACCAAGAGGCCATGTTTAGGGTTGTGGTGTTAAAGGATATTTTTAAGCTGGGGAAAATTCCACTTGGAAGCAAAGACAAAGCAAGCTCATTCACAGAAAAAGCCCGGGATTGGCAGAAAACATAGGGAAAGTGGAGGATGAATTAAGTCTCAGATGGCAAATGTTGGAGCATTTCCCCCCACGGCTGGTTTCTACCTAATAAAAATGAAGATCGCTTTCCTGTAGTTGGTTCCAAACACGACCCAGGAAGGGCCCAGGAACGGGATGATCACGTCGATCAAGCCCGGATGCATCTTGTCCATCTCATCAAAGAGAAACAAGGAGCGGCCACAGCGCGTCAAATTGCCCTGGATCCAGTTCTTCAGATTGTCCTAAGAAGAAGACACAGAAAAGAACATGCGTCCAGACGGAGCCATAAAAGCGCCAGGGGAGACCGGACTGCCGCGAAGGGCAAAGCAGCGACCAACGGCTGCGTTGGAAAGCGTTTCAGGTGGCAGGCTAATTAAACATGGAAATGATGGGTGAGACAAGGCTTGTTCTCTCATGCACTGGGAATCTTTTTTGTAAGTTACCGTGGCGTGGCTGGTGGCCACGGAATGGAAGAGGGCCAGTCTGCTAAGGTAGCCCCGGTTTGGCTTTCCCCTCCTGCAGGCCTTGCTGCTGCCCCTGTGTAAATGTCTTTCCCTTTTCCTGGCTCTCTCGACTAAACCTGCCAGAAAGACAACCTGCGTTAGCTGTAGCCAACACAGCCAAGGGTGGGGAGGGAGGGGAGCGGCAATCCAAGGGTGGTACTTGTCCCATCCCTGTTTTATCCGCCGTGAAGAAGAAAGCCACCCGCTTCCTTACCTTGTATTGCTCAATTTGTTCAGCGTGAGGGAAGTGGAGCACCGGGGAGAAGTGGTGGACGTACGAGCTGTGGGATCCGGAGTGGAAGAGGTAGTGAATCACCAGAGAGCTGACGTAGGTTTTGCCTGTGCCGGTCCAGCCGTGGAAGGAGAACACGAGGGGCTTCTCGGGGTTGTGGTTGTGCACAAAGGCCTTCAGCCCCTTCATCACAAGTTCTCTCGCTAGATGCTGCCCAACCAGATTAATGGCCAAGTCACATTCAAGACCTGGGATGCATCAGGATGGAGAGATGAAACGGGAAGGAAGAGCTTTCAGACCCTCTGTATCGGATGCAGCGCTCTCTGCTTGCCGTTTCCCCGTAATTCTGCATCCCACTGCTGTAGGGTTGGGGAATGTGTAGCTCTCCTGATGGCATTAGGCTGCAGCTACCATCATCCCTCACTGCTGGCTGGGGCTGATAGGAGTTGCAGTCCAGCAACCTCCAGAAGTAGTGGAGGTACCAGTGGGGAGTGAACTGGAGGAGTCGCTAAGTGGGGGATTGATTGAACAGCATCAGGAAAATTCGCTTGCCGGAAGAGCCTTTTTGGGTGGGCTTTGCTCCTAGTGCTGAAGAGCAGGAGAAGATACCACCCTGTAGATGCTGGACTGCCATTATTATTATTATTATTAGTTTCTTTTCTATGGCACCCCAGAGCCGATGATCTGTGGCCACTTTGCAACAAGGTACAAAACAGAAGAACGAAATGCAATGCAAGTAACAAGAAACAACAGTGTTGAAGGAATTCAGGAATGCAGCTCCCATCAGCCCCGGCCCGCAGAGCCAGTGCTGAGGGGCTGGCAGAGATGATGGCAGACGGCTGGTCAAGGGAGCCAGCGGGCTTCGGGGGCTCGCCCGGCCGTCGCCACAACAACCCTGCAAGGTAGGACCCGGCCGGCGGATCCGAACCGCGCGCGCCGACCAATCAGGCGGGAGGAGCCGCGCGCGCTCTCCCTCGCCCAATCCCGTCCCGCCCCGCCCCCTCCTCACCGCTCAGGTCCGGCCGGAAGTCGCACTCGCACGCGCCCGAGAAGCTGCAGTGCCACGCGCTCTGCTCCCAGGGGGCGCCGGCGCCCACCCGCCCCAGCGGCAGCGACAGCAGCGGCAGCAGCACCAGCGCGGGGAGGAGCCCGCCTCTCGTCATGGCGCTGGGCCCGGAGTGGCTGCGTCACGCGCCCATCCCGCGCCAGCCCCTGTGCCGCGGCCTCCCGGCGTGCACCGCGGCCCAGGCTCCAAGGGCGGCGGCGAGGTAAGGGGCGTGGCGCGGGCGCGCGGGCTGCTCGGAACGCCCTCGTTGCCACGGAGACGCGGAAGCCTGGGCAAGATGGCGGCCCTCGCGGCGGCGGCGGCGGCGGCGTGTCTCGTGTCGCGCGCGCTCGGGGGGACTCGTTTGAACGGACGAGAGCGGGACGCTTGCGCAGTTGCGGCGGGGGGGGGGGAGGGCCTGAGGCGGGGAAGGCTGGAAATGCGCCCAGGGAAGGGAGCAAGGAGTACAAGAGCTGCGGGGGGAGCAGAAAGCTTGGAAGGCCTCCCCGAAGATGGAGGCGGAAGTGGTGGGGGGGGGAGCTTAAAACGTATTTATTTATTTATTGCATTTATATGCCACCCCAATAGCACAGAGGGCTCTCTGGGTGGTGTACAGTCCTTAAAACCCCAAATACAAGATCCGTGGGGGCAAGTGGCGAAATTCCCCGAAGGAGATGGGGAGCGGGGGTCCCACAGGCACCAAAGCTATTCGAATTACTCGTAAATGAAAAAGGTGCAGAGCAAAGTGTTGTGGGAATACTGGGCTCCTTGGGGTCGTTAAAACGGGTGAGAGGAGCCGCGAAAGGGTCTCTCGGAGCAGAATTGCCTACTTGGCTTTTGTGCTTAAAGGCAGGCGTTGGGTTTTCGAAAATATAAAGCTTCTTGAAGAAAAAAGGCATAAAAGTTTTTTATTGTATGCAAGAATCAAGACACTCCATGGTATATATACATTAATTTACAAGACAAAAAAGGATGCACTGAATATTTACAAAAGAGGTCCCTTTTGAATACATAAGTATACATTTATATATATGTACTCCCCAATGTGGATGTTTTTATTTACAAGCAGAAAAGGCCCCCAACCAAAACAATAAAAGAGCAACCTGAAGCAAGAGAGGGACCAAATGAAAAGACTCCTTTAGGAAGATCAAGGATATGCTTTGCTAATTGGTTGAGATGAGGATTTCTGCATCCTTTAGGGGAGAACAGCAATGCGTGCAGTTACCCATTATGGGCTGTAAATTGGATGTGAGCCAGCGGCAATCCCACTTGGTGTTAGCCCCACTGCACCGGAATTTGAAGCAACATTAGTAGCTCAGGAGTGTCCCCCACTTAGGTTTTAAACATGTGAGGGGGTGGCCCTGAAGAAGTTCAGTATTCAGCTCCTTGGATCCCAGAGCAGCTCTGAGCATTCAAGGGAGGGCACCAGCAGCTACTTGGCTGCTTCCAAACCAGGCTTTTATTGTGTAATCACCACTGCCTCATTCACAGTATTTTACAGGGGTCCAGACCAGAAACATTGGTTAGGCACTTAAGGATGTCAGGACTTGGGTCAGAGAGGACAGATCTGCACAAAATTTGTATGTGCTATAATTTATATTTATTTGGATTTGGAAATAATCAGGATTCATTTAAATGTCATAGGAGGTAAAGAAAGCCAATTGATTTCTTAAAGAAATTGCCTCAAATAATCTATATTCTGGTCATTTGTGTCCCATTCCAGATCCTCTGAAATCAGTAGTCCTTCTTCCATTACTATTCATTTGCAATGGTGTGAAAAATGCAATTAAGAGAGTGGCTGGTAGTTTTTTCCCCCCATCAGCTCTGCCCCCCCCCCCCCGCATGGCAATGTTTGTACCAAATGAAGTTTCGAAAAATTGATGGCGCTATCCAGGTCACCTGCACGTTAATTCCTCAGTTCTCACCTGGATTCATGTTTAAGCAATTCCTCTTCAGTTAATTATCCCATTCATTAATCGCCATTAGCTCCACAAATGACATTCAATATAAAATGGTGCTACAGTTCTGCTGGATGGGGTTCCAACTGCCGGGCAGCTGGTAGGGCAGAGTTGGTTGTGGAAAGTGAGCAAGGAAGTAGCTTAGGAAGGAGAAGAGGCTGGAAGGAAAAAGAGGGCTGTGCGGAGGATCAGAGGGGCGAGGAAGATGAAGCAAGGTCTTGGCAGCATGGACAAGAGGGGAGGTAACCTGGAAAGAGAAATGGGAAGAAGCTCTGTTCCCCTTATCCGTTCTGCAGTTTCTATGGTTGTGTCTATGTGGAAGGGACTTGTGAGTTTCACCAGAACCCCACCTCTGTGCCACATTAAGGGGGGGACAGACCCACAAAGCCACACTCCCTTTCTTAACCTCTCACTCATGAGCATGACCAGGATCGAATGCATTTCAGGTACTTGGAGAAGGACCTCTTGCCCATATTATTCACCCCTTCGAGGGGGCAACAAATACATTTTCTCTTTTGCTTCTGCTTTCACTTTTCTCTGTCCTTCACCCATTTCTCTTTTTTCTTTCCCTTCCTGAGGGAAGTTGGCCTCCATGCAATGAAGTTTAGGACAAAAAGCTTCAAATTGGCATCAGCGGAAGCCGCCCCCTTAACCGCTGAGCAGGGCAATAGCCCCGGGAAATAGATTTCAAGACCAGGCCTTCTGTAACCACCGTGTGCATTTTCGTTCTTACTATGGGAAACACCGATTGGTGACACTAGGTTTGTTCACCTCCTTGCTCCAGTTATTTATGAGGGAGTACAAAGCAGGAGGCCCTCAGAGTTACAGGGACTGCCTACTCGAGATTGTGCCAAACGGCAAGGTAGTGAAGGGAGGAGGATTCTGCACTCTGCTCGAAAATGCAGCTATGAGCCGTCAAGGTCCATCAGGCCCAGATGTGGAACAGGATCGAGTCTTTACGCTCACAGATGGGGAACTTTTGCACAAGTCCTAAACCATGCCACGGACGTACAATGCAAATACCCAAGACTGGGGAGCTAGGCCATTGTCAGTTTTTCCAGGATGGAAATCAACCCACTGTATGTTGATTGTCAGTGTATCATGCTAAGGAAGGCCTCTGTTGTGGCCAGTTCCTGGCTTGGCGTCGTCGTTCTTGGACACCTTCACAGGCAGATCCTGCAGCCTTTGGGCTTCCCCACACCAGCCGGAGCCACGTTCCCCATTCAAGGGGGCGTCCTCGTGTGGCTGATGTAGAGAGGGGTGGCGCAGGCTGTTTTCTGGGCCCCACTTCTTGCTTGCTCCGTCCTGCACAGAGGTCCGCGGTTCGGCTAGAGTTCGCTAGAACGCACCACTGGCTCGAGTTTGTGGGATAACGCCGTGAGAACTTTGTTGAACTTCTCATAGCGCTCAGTCTGGCTACTCTCAGCTCCCCGACTGCCCCACAGAAGACGCAGCTGGAACTCTGTACTGAAGACCTCAAGGAGCTCTGGCCGAGGGTGGAAGCCTGCAGAGGGGGACAGGAGTGTCACAAAGAAACTTGGAAAAGCTGCCAGCTAGGCAAACGGCGCTTTTTAATTCATCGCTGTGAAAAGAGCAGCCAGAATCACGTGGGATTGTTTTAGGTGGTTAGCCTACAGTCTAATTCACGATTTCTGAAATGGTCTGAGGCAGATCTGTTCAGTGAACCTTACCAATATTGCTACTCCTTTGACAAGCTGGCAATTATTATTAATAGTTATTAATCATAGTTAATAACAATGACTTAATTGGCTATGTATTACTGTTTCCAACATAGCAAGTGTTAAGTGCATGACCATCTGCAACAAAATCAGTGATGTGGTACAAAAAGGGAACTTTTGTGCTGCTGAGTGAAGAGTTCTCGTTGGTTCTAAGGAAGATCTGGCCCAACTGCAGAAGTGGGGAGGTTTTCCCCGCTCACTGTCTAGGCTACCTGTTTCTTCCTTTAAACAGACATGGGTGGGGAATACGGCTTTTATATGGCACTTCTGCTCTTGGGTGAATTTTGGCTCACGTAGTTGCCCTTACCCTGCAGCTTCACCTCTGCGTTGGTGTGGTACAGTCCCCCGTGATGGGCCACCATCCGTGCTGCCTCCAGGTGGGCCATGACAACCTCCACGCCATTGTCGGAGTTTTCCCAGGGCTCCGGTTTGTCCGGAAGTGCAGTGTCTCGCTCCAGCAGTGTGATGAGGGGCACAATGTGAGGAAAGGTGGTGTTGGACAGAGGCGGTCCTCCTTCTGGAAGGGGAGAGTGAAAGGTTTCTGCATCAGGAGCTAAATTGCCATTGGGTCCATCTGTCTGCGTACTGCCTCCCCTTGACTGACTGCAGCTGCTCCCAGCGACTTGCAAGCTTTTTCTGAATAAGATTTGAGGTTTCTCGTCTTCATGCACGAACCTTCCTCTTGCGCTCTGGGGTTGGCCTCGTGACCTTGGCACTGCAGCTCGAACAGCGAGCGTGAGAGGGAAGGTGTTCTGCATTCGGAGTCCCCAGATTTTTTTTATTTAGGACATTTCTAGGCCGTCCATCACTTCAGCCTCTGGGCGGCTTGCAATAAAATATATAAATCCAGCGTATATAACCCAAACAATAATTAATTAGCTATCCCATGGTGGTCAGACAGGTGCAGCATAATAGGGAACAAAATGAGTCCTACATGCAGCGTTGCTTATGCAGAATCAAAAGCAAAAAGGAGGAGTCGGCCTCCAAAGCTCACCTTTGCCTTCATTCAGGCCCTTCAGGAAAGGCTTGAGTTTCTTCTCGTACAGGACGGCTCCCTCGGTGTGCCGCTGACGTAGAACTATCCAGGTTTGCTCCAACCGTGAGATCTGAAATCCACAAGGAAAGGCAGAAGTGTGAAGGGGTCTGTTTTAGGGAGGTGCTGGCCAAGCAGGACACGGGGATGATGCTGTGAGACTGACCATTTTTATTTTATGTATTTATTTAAAATAAATCTCTTTTCCAGACCGTCCCTTACTGTAGTCTCGGGACAATTTAACAATAAGACAATCTAAAATAAAATAAAATTCAGCATCCGAATAAAATCTCCAACCCACGATAAAACCCCAATGAAAACAATCAGAGCTCAAAACACTGGGAAATTTTTTTTTAAAAAAAGTTTTAGCCTGGCACTAAAAAGAATAAAGTCACAAAAAACTAAAGAATAAACCATGACCCACACCCGTAGTTAGCGCTGGCCAAAAATTACAACACTGGCTTCGCGCACACGGTTCCTGCACTCAGGTGCTTACAGAAATATTTTGGGAGACAGCAAAGGCGTGGCTTTGGGCACCCGATGTGCACAAGTGTCTCCATCTCTTGTGCGCGCTTCCACCACAGCAAGGCACAAACAGCTTTTGAGTGTGCGAGCCGCCTGCACATCTCCTTCCCACGTGAGTCCCGTGTCGGGGGAAGCGCTCCAAAAGCGGTGCTCGGGAAGCCCCTTGCCCGCCCGCCTGGACTGCACTTCCAGTCCCTAACCCCAAGCTCACACTGCGCAATGCGCCAATGCTGCCGCTGTGGCAGGAGGACGCCAGAGATCCGCAAAACCGCCGTGGGCACAGGCGGGGAAGGCAATGGTGAAGGGAAGCGGCCTCGCCCAGACCCATGCAAGCACCTGGCTCATCTCCAGCGCGTTCATGACCGCAGCAAAACTGAACATGTTTCCCATGGTGCTCTTCAGCTCGGCGGCCAGCTGAATGGTCTTGTGCAGAAGGGACGCCCTCTCCTCCATGCTGCCCGTGCATCCCAGAATATCCACCGCGATCATGATGGTCATCGTGTGGAACCTGGAGCAGAGGAGGAAGGATGTGAGGAGGAGACTCGGTGCAAGCGTGGCGGCGGAGAGGGCAGGCACTTGGGCGCTTCTGCTTCCCCAAATGCTGCAGCCGGGACGGGACGTGCGGGGGCCACGGGGCCTGGTTCTGGGCAGCGTTCGAACAGCTCTAGCAAGGTGCTTTTCTGCAGGAGGTTTGCTTTGAAAGCCCAAGGACTCGAACGTCAAATTCTGTCTCCAGTGCCAAGTTGCACAGATTTCTCCCCAAAAAGGCAGGGCTGTGAAGAGAAGGGAGCGCTTGCCCACCCATCTCCCATCGTCCCCTGCACTGCTCCTCCTGCACGCTACCTTTCCAATAAATCCAGTCGAAGTTGATGTCCGTGGGGCAGGGTGAGCAGCTCCATCCCTGAGCTCACTCCCATGAGCCTCTGCATCTCCTTGGTAACGCCCAGTATCCTAGCAACCTGCAACAAAGGGGATAGCAGTTTAATCTCTCCTCGGATGCAGGAGAATCTCTGCAAGGCGCAAGGGAAATTATTTATTACTACTATTAATAATAAAAATTGAATTCATTATCATCTATCTCATTTTATGCATTAACACACACACACACATACACGCACCCTCGGGGGCTTACAACATGTAATTGAACAACGCCAAGATAAAATTACAGCAAAAACAACATTCATAAAAATAGCAGTGGCAGATTTTTAAAAACTGCCGTTTGGTGCTTCTCCAACACGCTCTCGCCTGCAGCTCCTGCCCACCCTTTCCGTGACTTCACAGGCCATCTGGGTTGCACTCGGACACTGTTCAGATGCGCTGGACTACAAATCCCATCAACCATGAGCCATGCTGGCCAAATACTGTGGAGGCTGCGGTGCAAGACATCTGGAAAGGGGGTAGGTTGGAGGACGTTACTTTGAATTCGGTTCTGGAAAAGTTCTCGGGCTCCACTCTATGGGAAGGAACCACAGACTTGGAAAGGAAAGGCAGAAAGAACAGTACCGTATTGTAACCTGAAGCCGCCCTTGCTTATGAGGGGCACGTTGACCTTTCAGAGTGAAGAAGAGACCACACAGAAGCCAGAAAACCACCCAAAGCATCAGGGGTCACGGGAAAACGGCCGAGGCCTTCTGATGAACATCCAAAGGCTGGATTGGGGGTCTGACTCAAGCAAGAGCTGCTTGTGTTCCGTTTTCCAGCATCCACTGCATTTGTGCCGTGGCTTGGGAACTCGTCAGTCGTGCAGCTGGGGCTGCTGCAGCCCCTCTTCATAATGGCCCGACTGTGGGGCAGGTGGCCTGGCCAACGAGAAGGGTACTTCCCACCGGCTTTTTTCCTCCCTGCGCACAGCCTGGCAGTGACAGCCGCCGCACGCCCCGTTTGCGGACAGACTTGGCCAAAGCCTCTCCCGACACAAGTGACTTCAGCCTGGGAAGAGCAGATAAACGGACTGCCAGGAGCCAGCCAAGGACAGCGCGTCTCTTGGGAACGGCTCTGCTGCCCAGCGTTTCCGCCTCTCAAGCGTGCCTGCCAAATCTTTGAACAAAACCTTGGTGCTAGAACTGCAAAGAAAGAAAGAAAGGGAGGGAGGAAGGAAGGAAGGAAGGAAGGAAAGGAAGGAAGGAAGGAAGGAAGGAAGGAAGAGCAGTGTCCGCAGGCACACACTTGAGCTCAAGGAGAATCACCCGGTGCAACGAGCTTTTTAACAAACAAGCAGCCGCATACATCACCGTGTGTGTATAAAATACCTGTCTGACATAAACTAGTGCTTCAGCTATAGCAGAGGAAAGGAATGTGCCCGTGCCGACATTCACAAGACCCAGACTCTGTTGCCCGTTTCCCTTCATCTCAGCAGAAAGTTTGCACGGCCCAACAGGACAGTGTCTCCAGGCAGGGCTGAGAAGGACCTCCTGCTGTGCTGGCCTACAGCTCTCAGAGGTAGCGCTCCTGGAGGGTGCCGGCTTGGAGAAGGCTGGCTAAGCAGACACACCCCAGGTGGGAGCAGGGCCCCTTCTGATGTCCCTGGCTAATTCAGGCCTCTGCTCAGAGCTGTGCAGTCCACCGCCACTTTCCTTTGGAAGCAGCTTTCTGCCAAGGGGGAGACGGCCTGCCAGAGACTCAGGGTTTTATCAGGCATGTTGCTTTAGGGCTGCTGAGAGTTTTAGTCGAATGCATCTGTCTGAAGGACGGAGCGCTGCTGCAGTCCTTTGATTTTGCCTCTCTGCGGCTGTGTCGTCCCGGGGGGGAGGGGGGACACTGCGCCGCAGGTGGCCGCGTAGGACAGCCCTGGGCTATACACGCTTCCAGCCTTGGGCTGTTGCGGCGCAGATGGCCCAAATATCATTTGTGGCATCCAAACTGGATGAAAGGGCCCCCACCCCCCAGTCTAGGCTGCCTGCCTCCCACCCAGGACAGTGGCAAGCAACTTGTGGCCCTCGAGATGTTTTAGACTACAGCTCACACGATCCTTTGCTGGCTGGGGCTGATGAGCATGGTAGTCCAACACCCCCCCCCCCGGCCTCACACACCCCGTACCAGGCAATCCACTTGGGTGATGTGCAGGGCGAGGGTTTTGGCGTCCACTTCGGCTAGGAGTTCCTTGACTTTCTTGAGCACTGCCATTTCTAGGGGCTTGTTTTCCAGGGGGATGAGCAGCGAATGGAACATGGCAGGGTTGAAGGAGGAGACCCTCTCCACCGTAGGCGCCACGAAGCCGGCTGGGTCCTGACCGGGTCTCTTCCGGGCCGCTGCCTCCGCCTCGGGCCCATTCAGAGACGGGCCCTTCTGGCCCTCGTCCCCCTTTAGCCGGTCCACATAGCTCTTGGCCAGCGCCTGCTTGCCGGCTGGAGCTGGCCTCTCCCACTGGACTGGGGAGGGCGGGTGGAGCTGGCAATAATGCCCCGTGTCCGGGTCGCTGTAGCTGCTGACCGAGGGGGAAGGCGAGGCTTTGGCGTATCCGTGCGAAGGGGTCGAGCGGGCGCTGTCCGGCTGATCCGCCTTGCTGCCGTTCCCTTGGCAGAGCTGCGGTTCGCTGGATCGCCTTATGACGGGGGATGCTGGGCTCACGCCGCTGGCGGCCTGACCTCCCTGCGGTTTTAGCCGAGTGACTGCAAGAGAGAAGTGAGGAGACCCCGTTATTGTCAGGACGGACCTGCTGCAAGCTGCGCAAGAACACGATGGCGGCGTGCCCCGAGGATCTTCGCGGCACCTCCTGTGCGCTCATAGTTATTTATTTAAAACTCTTGCATCCGCCCCATCAGAGCTGTCCCGGGATGTTCACAATAAGATACGGAAGGCTGTGCCAGTGAAGACTCTCCCCACAATGTTCTTTGAGCCAGTTACACGCCTGTGTTCCAGTTCATGCACATGTATATGTGCATGGAGCTGCTCGCATGCCTGTCCTGTTCTCCTTTGGAGAGTGGAAGAATGCCTTGCCCAGGACTGCGAGAACAGAACGGCCTGGAGGCTGCTGGGAATTGTGATCTCTCAGCAATTAGGGAAGGCTCACCCGAGCTAATAAGGCAGAGAGCAGTGTTCATGCACCTCTGTGGTGTCTCTCCAGGAGCCCTTCATATTTCATGAACAGTTCTCAGCACTTTTATTTATTTGTGAATTTATTTAAAATATGATGTGCATACCTTCTCCTAACTAAGAGAATTCAAGGCACTTTCCACAAACAGAAAACCTAGATATACCTCCAAAACCATTAATGGATGTCGTGTTAAACTTCCAAGAGTTTAAAATACTTGAAAAATAGTTGAACAGCAGTTTGACCCTGTGACTGGTTCACACAGAATAACCATTCTTGGGCTGTTTAAACCATGAGTTTTGGGGTCTGTGGTGAGGAAGCAAATGGGCTGTTTCCTGCAGGTTTGTCAGTTCCACTGTCAGTCAGCAATTCAGGAGTGCCCATTTGTTAACAAGCCAGAGTTAACCCAGCCATTGGCCACGGTTTGCTGCTGGGTTAATTCTAGGTAGCTTAACCCCTGAACAATCCAGAGTTCTGGGTCTGGATGTCACAGTAACAGCCCAGGAGTGGGGCATTGCCAGATTGTTGACTGGAAGAAGAAATGGAGACTGTGCGGAAGGCAGAATCTTTGTTTGCGGCTGGGTTAAGGAACTGAAATGCTGTTGCGACATGCAGAGCAGGCGTGTGGACGCACCCTTCTTACCAGTGCTGTAGGCTGGGGTTGTCGGGGTCTCCGAGATGGGAGACATTGGTGAGTGGAGATCCTGGATTTGATCCACACTGACTGCGCAGTTCCGGATGATGTCCCGGTGATGTGGCAGGGAGACACTGAGGAGGAAAGTGGAGACAGACAGGCACTGGGCGTGAAATCCCTCACAGGACTCAGTGCAGGGGTCAGATTTGGGAAGCGTGCGGCTGAGTTAGAGGGGCAACCGCAGGATGAACTGGTTTATCGTTGTGGTGAGCGTTTCAGGAGGCTCAAACAGGCGCACTTGGAGCCAGAAACACTGCCTTGATTCGCCTACTCGGATGTCTTGCACTGTCTTTCCCTTCCGTTGTATACTAGGCTGTAGGAATGCGGGAAAAGCCCTGAGGGATCAGGGCCTCTCTAGTCCACCTTCCGCTCCCACCGTGGCCAGCCAGATGCCCCGATGGGAAGCCAAGCGCTTTCCGGCACCCTCCCACATGCCTGCCTTCCACGGCAACTGCTCTGCAGGGGCACAGTTCTGGCCCTAACGACCCATAGAAACTTCACGGGTTTGTCGGAGCCCCCTTTTAAAACCACCAGCTCCTCACCACGACCTGGCATAGGGGGTTCCATGGTCTGACTCTGTTGCCTGGAGAAGTCGTACTCCTCTCTGTCCTGAATCTCCCGCTGCTCAGCATGCGCCAGCCGCTTGGCGACTCTTCAGTTCTGCCCGTTTTTTACGGATCATTGTTTGTTTATTAATCTAGAACTTTTCTAACCTGTCCACCACTAGTGTCTCAGGACGGCTTACAACAAAAAATGAATAAGAGAAACAAAATGGCACAGCATCCAAAAACTAAGATAATAAAACCCAAGTTAAAATCATCGAAACATTAAAATGATGGGAAAATAATGTTTTTACCTGATGCTGAAAGGAATCGGCACCAGGCAAACCTCTCTGGGGAGCATATTCCGTAGACAGGGAGCCACCACAGAGAAGGCCCTCCTCCTGGTAGCCACTCTCTGAACGTCCTTCAAGGAGGGCTCCCAGAGCAGGGCATCCACCTCAGATCTCAAGAGGCAGGAGGGGAATAGGGAAGAAAGTTCTCCTTCAGGTGTCCTGGTCCCAAGCCATTTAGGCCTTTTTGGGTCATCACCAGCACCTTAAATTGGGCCCGGACTTCAACTGGCAGCCAGTGCAGTTGATAGAGGACCGGCATTATATGTTCATACCTGCCATTAATATCCTGGCAGCTCTGCTCTGGACCGACTGAGGTATCTGGACCGTCTTCAAGGGCAGCCCCACACAGAGCATGTTCCAGTAATCTAACCGGGAAGTTACCAGAGCATGGCTCACGGCTGCTAGGCAGCGGGGTCCTAGGATTACCTCGTTGGGCATCCGTCGCCCCTGGTGATCTTGTCGGCCGTCAGTCCGTCGGTCATGGTGATGCTGCGGCGTTTGATGTGCCCCCCTTTCTGGCTGGCGTGGCCGTGCGAGCCGCTGTGCTTCCCATTGGCAAGTCCGTAGCTGGCCTCCAGGTAGCGCAGCGGGAAGGTGCGGTTGATGGGGCAGTAGAAGATGGCGCTGCTCTGCTCCGAGACCGGCTTGCGGTTGCCCACGTAGAAGCGCACCAGGGCCGGGACGTTGTCGAAGCTCTCCTGCTCGAAGAGGTACTGGATGTGGGTGCGGCCTTCGCTGGACTTCACCATCACCTTGTTGATCTTGAAATGGAGGGGCTCGTTCCGCCAGCGGCAGGTCAGCACGTAGTCGCCCAGGCTGGTGAGGGAGTCCCGGATCAAGAAGTCCCCATTTCTCTGCACCAGGCTCTCAGACACCTGCGGGACGGATCGGAGAATTGACCCTTGTTTTAGGACTGCGTCGCCATTATTTATTTTCTTTATTTATTGAAAACTTTTCTAGACCATCTCATTAGCGAAGTCTCGGGACGGTTTAACAATACACCATTTCTTGTGTGCCAAGGACTGTTTGCAAAATCCTGAATGAATGTGAGGATAGCGTGGAAATGAGGACTGAGTAACCCAACTTGGGTTCCTTGGAACCAAGAAAAAGGCAAGACTCTTGCCATTTTTTCCCGTTTCTTCAATTATACATTCTTTTAACATTGTAATGGCCCAGAGTGCCATTTGACTATTGGGCCTATAAACATGAATTTAACAAAATAAAAACATAACGTTACACTGTTTACATATGCAAACTATAATATACATTTAAACAAACCGCAGTAAAATTCCAGAACCCATTAAAAACCTTTTCATAAGCTGACAAATGCCCTAGAGAGAAGTCTTAATGTGGTGCTGAAAATATGATGCCAAGCAGACCTCACCTAGCACAGCATCCCAAAATTGGGGGGCTACAACCAAGAAGGCCCCCCAACCTTGTTGACACTTTCTGAACTTCCCTTGGAGGAAGGGTGTCAAAAGGTGACTCAGCATAGAGGCTGGATCATACACTGATTTTATTTTTTGGAAGTTAAAAGTAGTAGGGAAATACACCATACTACATGGCACTCCCAAAAAATATCCAGTCCAGTCTAATTGTCTCCAACATGAGGAGAGGAAGGAGGAAGGCTGATCGTGTAATGGAGACACGGGGACAGCTCTGCGTCAACGGCAGGATGAGACCCTATTGTCCTCTTGGATCACCCAGGAACTGGGGACCCAGGAAACGAGTGGGACAAAGAGCATCGGGTTCTCAGACCCTCCTGCCTCCATCGGGGGGTCAGGGCGTCAGACAGCTGGACCCTGGAGTCCGCGGCGATGCCTGCCTCTCTGCCCAGAGGAAGCAAGGAGCTGGTCCCGATGCCTTGCTCGGTGTGGTACAGATGCCTCCACAAATGCCCTGGTGCCGCACCTCTCGGGGGATGAGTCCGTGGTACCAGGCGTGGCTACGCAGGTCTGTGCTGCTAAGCTTCAGCTCCTCCTCCAGCTCCTTGTGAAGCTTCTCAGGCGATGAATCAAGGATGTATTTCTCCTTGGAGAACTGCAGAGAGAGAGAGAGAGAGCGGGAGAGCTTCAGGTCAGCTGAGCCCCTCTGGCCACGACAAACGGGCCAGTGGCCAGTCCTGGAACACACAAAGAAAAGGGAATGGGGGCTGCTCTTCTCATTCCACACCTTTCAAAGGCCAGTGAATCCCCTGAGGTCAGTGGGAACAATAAGCCGTCCTGAGATGTTTGTAGGGGACAGGATAGAAAAGCTTTTAATAAACAAACAGCCTTTGGTTGGGATGCCATTTAAACACCAGGTGGACACTAGAGGTGAAATTCCCACCTCTCTCGGGGGTGTCCCCCACAAACTCTTTTGGCACTTCCTTGCTCAAGGGGGAGTCAGGCCCAGTCTTGCAAAGCCTCGCCTAGCGATGGGAAGCAGGTTCTCAGATCTTTTGTGGTGTCGTCAGGTTGGCTCTTGGCACCACATTCCAGGGCTCCACTCACCGGAGGGCCCTTAGATGACCACCCAGAAAGCAGCAGCGGAAGGAAATGCCGGTCTCCCCGATGGGCAGTATGATTTTTACATGAGTTTGTACTGTCGCAATACATTCCCCGCTTTCTCTAAAGCAGGGCCGGCAGACAGATGGGTTGTGCTAAAATGTTAAAAAAGCAAAAGCAGTCGTAAAGTCAGGAATTTGGATAGAAGGGAAAGAAACCTTTTGTGTTTTGAAACTGAATATCGATGGCCATCCAGACCCAATCCCTTGCCACAGGAGCATTAATCCAGTCTAAAATTACCCATCTCTGACGCTTTTTTCATATAATGGGGAAAGAAGCCGCATCAATAACTCTTACCTAGAAATGTGGCAGTCACCAATCTGATGCACTTCCTGGCTTCCTCCAAAGTGTTCCTAGCTATCCTGTACAAGCCCACTGGGGCCTGAGCCAGCCGAGGGAAAGGTGCTGAGCAGCCCAGGATAACTGATTTGCAACGGGTCTCCGGCAGACGGGCAAGTTTCCTGACCCCGCTTAACCACTAAGGGCGCAACGCCTCAGCAGCTCACACATCTGCCGCTGTTGCCGCTGGCCAGGCGCCGAGCCAAGAGAAAGCAGACCCGCCAGCAAACATGAGCTGAGAAGTGCTCTCTGCTGTGCGAGGAGCCCGGGCTGGCACATCGGCTTGGCTGGCCGGTGCAGCGCAGCTGGTGCGCATGGGGGCCGCGGCGGCCTCGGACGCAGCTGTCTCCCCACACACACACCCCTCCTTCATCCTCCCCACTGGGGCGCTTGCACCGAAGGTTACCGTCCTTTGGGACCAAGCCTGCCTTTGGCCTCTCCGTCTTGGCAACCGGGCCAGGGGCCTGGCATCACTGGGCTATTTCAGGTTGTCGGCAGATGCTCTCCCGGGGCGGGAGGGAGGGTGATGCAACCCAAGCAGAGCTAGCACCTCAGCCGGAGGGAGTTGTGGGCACCGGTTTCGCAGGTGGGGGAGGCACATGCAATTCAGTGAAAGGGGCCTGGGGGGGAGGGCGTTGCAGCCGGGAGGGGAACCCCATCCTGTCCTCGGCTCCTGTTTCACTAGTGGGTGGCCAGCACTGGGTGCAACCTATTGTTCCCGTCGTCAGGATGCAGTGTTTCTCTCACCCTCCCATCAGGATCCTTGACAGAGGGGTTGTGGGGGGGGGGTGTCAAACAATGGTGTCTTTGCTAAGCCTCTCCCTTCAGGCTTTCAGGAAAAATGGGATTAATATCCTGGCCCCACCCCACCCCTCCACTTACTTATTTACTTACTTATTATTTATTTAAAGTTTTTCTATGCCTCCCCATTACGAAAAGTCTCTGGATGGCTTACAAAGAACAAGAAACCAAAGAACAAAGAACCAAGAACCCATCACAATGATGTGGCCTGACACTCAATGCCCGGGAAAGATGGCCCCTTTCCCGTGGGACCGAAGGGGCATTTGCTTGGGGGAAGCCGGGAAGCCCCAGCTCAGCTCGTGGGAGCCCCTGCTCGGCCTCCCCGCTCACCGTGGCGGATCGAGCCCGCCCTTGCACTCCGCCCAGCCCGCTTTGCGCTCGCTCGCAGTGCTCAGCGCCCTGTGGGGATGGAGCCGAGGCTGAGGCTGAAGCCCGGCTGCTGCTGAGACAACGGTGCAAGCGTTCTGCAGAGGGGCTTTCTGGGGGGCAGGGGGCCGTGGGAAGCCGCCGGCAAACCTGAGGCGGAACAGCGCTCTCGGTAGCAACGGCTGGCCACCTGCAGAATCCCGAAATGCTTCTGCGTGGACGGGCGGAAGAGGGTCCCTCCAAAGAGTTAACCCCTCCGTGCGCCAGGCTCGCTGCTGCAGTGCATAGCAATAAGAGGTTTAAAGGGGAATCTGCGGCACGGAGATGAACGCGCGCACGAGCCTGCACAGTCCCCACGCTCTCCATCTCCCCTGCACGCCCCCCGTTGCCTCTCGGTGGGGGGGCGAGCAGGCAATGATGTCTCCACTCTGTGGGGAGGGACGGGGGCAAGAGAAGCAAGAGCTGCGCTGGAGCAGTGGGGTGGAGAGAACGTGGGGGGCTGTGGCTCAGCAGTGTTGCAGGCAAATTGGCCTGCGGCTCCTGCTCAGGCTGGGAAAGGCCCCTCCGTGAGGCCCCGCCGGACTGGGAGTGATGCCGTAGGAAACACGGATCACGGCTGGCACACAGCCTGTTCCGTCAGGGGCCACACGGACCTGTTGTGCTCATTTCTGTCCGGGTCTGCATCTTCCCACGGCAAAGTTCGTCCCATTTCCCTTCTGGAACGGGATCCGTTAATTCAGTCGGCATGAAAATCTCTACACATTTTTGTAAGGATTTCTCAAGGCTTGCACATTTTCATAGACTCTTCCCCCCAAAAGGATGCATTTTGTGCTTAATTGCCCAAATGTACCTCTTTATTTTTTTGCCAGCGACTTTTCTGCCGGGAAGAAAATGGGGTGGGGGGGTTTGGGTACACTTCCTCAAATGCCTGGATTTGTATGTACTGTTTTTAATATACATTTTGTGAACTGGGGGAGAGAATTGCATTGGACACTACAAAAAGTACAGATTTTGATGTTCATGATCTTGCATGTTTGGGAGAAGGGAACTGAGCTGTATGTTACCCATCCTTCATTCTTTGTTTTGGGGGGTGGGGGGGGCAGACCAATGTGCCACCTGGAAACTCCCAGTTGGATGGGTTTTTTTTTTTTTTAAATTGAAGGATATTGAACTTGGTGGGATCTTGTTCCAAGAAAGCATTTTTTTCGGCTGTCAGACATGCAGATTCACATGGAAGACGGGAAAGATTAGGAAAGATTAGCAAACTGGTCAAGAGAGTGCGAAGAAATGTGATTTTGCTTTGCATGGGGAACAATGTCCAGAAGGCTCAGCATGGAAGGCTGAAATTGATTTCACTAGATTGCTTTTAAAAAAATCATCTTTTCTACTGCTCTATCACAAAGTGTCCTAGCCAACTTACAAAAATAGACTCCATCCCATATTTAAACACTCAATAAAACCAATATAACACGCCGAGTGAGATACCCTGTGCGCAGTCACTAAAAGCCCAAGTATAATTTCAGATAGCAACCAACCCCAAAAGCCACACTCTTAAAACAAATCAATATTGACCTGCTTTTTCCCTAAGACTTCCTGAAATGCCTACCAGAAAGGACGGTCTTTTCACTCACTTTCTAAAATTCTCGGGTGCTCAGAACGTCTTGGGAAGACCATTTCAAAATGTCGGGAGCCACAGCTGAGGAGGCTGGCAATCCCACTTCCAGGATGCGAGGATCAAGTTTTCCTCCTGCTAATTTTAAGGGACAGGAGAGCTCGGTCGAAGGGATTCCTCGGTGGACACACCCTGGAAGTTGGAATTGGGGACCCGTAATACTAAGCGCCTGAAAACCCAGGCCTCTGCCATTGAATTGCTTTTTTCTTCATACTGCCCCCAATCCCGGCCAACACCTGCCCAAACCATTATTAAAAATCAGCGGTCGCCACAGGTCTGGCTTTTGGGCCCTTCGGCCTTCCCAAGGGGCGCCGAGGCCGAAGCAGGTGCCGTCACCATGGCAACTGCCTCCTCTCCATCACTGCCGCTTCGCCCCTGCAGCCAACGCTCCGAATGCAAACAAATAGAATCATTTCAAGGCCAACTTTCCTTGGTGCGAGGACTTTTGAAGTGGGAGGAAACGATCCTCTGAAGAGCAGCTTTTGCACATTAAGTCATCTGTGCACAGAGGATGATGTACTCCTTTGGTTCTCTGTGTGTGTGTGTGTGTGTGTGTAAGACACAGAAATGGCAAGTGACAGAAGGGGGTAGTGAAAATAACAGATGTGAGGAGCTGCTTTCCCTTTGGTGTTTCAGAGACGGAAGCCGGGCCAGTCTCTCCATCACGGGGCAGCGGGTGGAAGGAGCTTTCCAGCAGCCTGTGCGAAATGAGCCCCACGTGGGGAAGGAGCGTGCTTGCTTTGGGTTGAATATATTCTGGGGCAGCAGCACAGTGGGGGGAGAAGGGGTAGCTGACCCTGGGTGACATCACAAACCATTCAGAATAAGCTGCACCAACCCCACCGGAGGGGGAAGCAGCAAGGCGCGTGCTCGCACTGTTGGCAAAGCTCACAAGGGCCACCGGCTGGACGCAGAGCGTTGCTGGGGGTGACGCGTAGGCACAGTTCACCGCAGGACCCCCAGACGATCAGCGGCGGGTGGCTCTGCCGGTGGGAGCACACAGGACCAGGGGCCAATCCTGCCCCCTTGCCTCCCGCCACTCGGGCAAGGCAGCTGCAGCCCTCTCCGTGACCCCACGAGGTGTCAGCCTCACAAAGGGACCTCCTGTGGAGGGGAATGAGGAGGAGGAAGGAGGCCTTGGTGCAGAGAAGGCCAGGAGGGCGCAGGAGAGGGGAGGGGAGGAGTCGCCCCCACAGCAACAAAGTATTTGCCTCCAGAGCATCCATATCACCACAGGCAGGAATTGGCTCGCTGCCTGCGCCCCAAATGCACGACCGGCCCTCCACCCAGCGCCGACCCGAAACATGTTGCTGCCG